AAAAAACAAATAATCAGTGACTAGAAATGATAAAATCTCTATGTGCAACATTGTAGATGAATATAAATGAACATTGGATTTTTACAACTGAATACAATTGTTTGAATAGTTAGAATAATGCAAGAAAATATTTTATCAGAATTAGTGATCAAGGGGTTAAAACATGGAAACATTTTCATCTGCATTAGTGTTCAAAGGGTTAAAATAGTACAAAAGCATAGGATCCGTAGTCTAGAAATTATAAAATGTATATTTGAAACAATATAAATGAAGCTTAATGGACATTAGATGTTTACAAAGGAATACAATTGTCACAATAACACATGAAAACATTTTCATCAGTATTGTTGCCCTAAGGGTTAAAGTAGTATAGAAGTACATAATCAGTAGTATAGAAACATCTAAAATGTATGTATGTGTCATTTGCTACTTCGTAAATGAAGATAAATGAACATTGGATATTTACAATATAATAATATTGTTTGAATAGAAAAATACATGAAAACATTTCCAGTAATATTAGTGTTTAAAGGGTTAATACCTCTAAATCAACATATATCCAATTGAGAAAAGCATAAACATTTACGTAGATTAGCACATTATATAACTGTGTATGTTGGATTAACATTATCTATTTGTAAATTATTTAAAAAAATCATTTATGTCATGGGCTTTTGAAATATAGTGAAATACTGAAAAATATGGCAAATTTTTGATATTTTTTTCCCGAAAAATCAATGATTTTCGAAACAACAAATACAATGGCATTTTATCCTTTATTAGACCAAGTTTGTAATAAAATTAAAAAAGAGAATCAAAATATTTTATTTTACCCATACTATGTAAAGATATGTAGTACAGCACCGCTTTTTAACCAACTTTTAGGATTCAAAGGGTTAATTCTTCAAAACCGTTATTCACTCAAATGCCCAAATAATTAAGAAGATACTACAGATATTTATATATAGTAATATGTATTCATTATCACGAAAGACTAGGAAAGGAAACTTTTAAAAAATATTTTATCAAGGCATCCCTATGTCAGAAAATGGAAAGAGGGCGCCACTAAAATAGCTAATTAAAAATTCGCTGACCACTTTTGAGACAAGCACCTCATATATTCTTGGAGCCTAGGGTATATGCTAATGGTTGAAAGAGTCATATTCCATAACTATTACATTTTCAGTGGGACCCCGTCAGCAACAGGAGTATGACAATGCCTAAAATAATCATAAACTTAAAATCCAGATTATTATTTTACAAAAAGGAACACTGTTCATCAAACAAAACAAAATACCTCAAATAAAAATCAGTGACTATAGCATTTTGATTCACTCTCATAAACCAATCCTCTCACGAAAGCTCTTATATAGAACTAATAATTCGTTTATAAATCACAGGTAATATTGCCTAACATAATGCATTCGCATTAGTAACATCTCACATGAAAAATCAAAAACATAATAGCCTCATGAATATACTCACAAACACGAGTACCTCACATATAAATCGTAACTGATATAACAACTTCTTCAGTATATTATATTCCTCGCTTATTATGTGGTATTGTATAAAATGCACTCAAAAAACTAATACTCCACATAAAAACTTGGATTAATCAAACGTTATAGGATGCGCCTCACATAAAAAACAATATAGCATCATAGTGCACTATTTGAAAGGAATACCTTTTATAAAATTTCAAATATTATACAGAATATGGAATGAAGTTAAAAGAAACTTGTACTCCCCTAAAATAAGCTTAAGTGTATGGATAGTACTCACAATTAGCAACGACCCAGGGACAATGACTACCACTCCACATGTTATTCAAGTATAAATTAAATTACCTCCTTCATATGTGACATATAATTTCACCCAGAAACTAGTTTTTCTAGCAATACCCAATATAAAAACAAAAGAGATATAGCCTGGGAGTAGCCATTTTGTCCCAAATTCTATCCAAAATATCATAAATATGTATGCACAAGTGCCAAATGCGAAAGACCAAAAATGACAAAACATAGACGTGTCGCAAAAAGGTGGCGCATTTGTTTTTTAAGGGTATTGCATGAATGTAACTTTGATTCCCCGGATTATACAATAATATTCTAATTAAAGTTATACATCATTTTAAAGCTGTTTCGTTTTTAGATCCACTACACTCCGTTCATGATTCTTGCGCGTTCTTTTTTAAAAAATATTTTTATACCAAAACATCTGGCAAATATCCCCTGTTGACACGTTACATTTTGAATTAGTTTTCGTCTTTAAACGCTCATAACTCAAACAATATATGACTATTATACTTATTTTTCATCTTGATAAAGGTAGATTGAAGTTTTATTTCAAAGGATGAATTTTAGTAAGCGTCCCATATTGTGACGTCATAGAGTTTGAAAAATAGAATCTGTTGACAGCGACCTTTTTTGCTCATTTTTTGTTACCTTCAACTTTTCAGGTGTACATTAAACAAAAAATACGAGATCGATTATTTATAAATCATACATGATTATTTTGCTCTTAAACTCTAGTTTATTAATAAATAGTTGATTTTGTTCGCAAAAGTATGTGTTTTCTGTTGTATGTGGAAAAGTGGAGGATGGAAGGTTTTCAAAATTCATTAAAGTAGGGCTAATTTATGCCATTCGCCTATTTTCAAGCACAGCAACACGTATATTTATTTCAGCCAAAATATCAATTGATTCGAATTCGTGTTTTATGATGCTCCTATCCCATTGTTAATACATATACGATATCAGAGTTATTCGCCTTAAACATTTTGAGATATAGAGGCAAATGTGGAGGACGAAAGGATTTCCATATGAGTACATTTTTTCCAAAAAACGTCACATTCTATGGTGTTAAAAAGCGAAAATGTGTAACAATGCGTGTGCGACCTTTTTGCGACACGTCATAGCAAGAAAATGAAATGTCTAAGATCTCATTGCCAAATGAAAAGAAAATCCAACTATCCCAAATCAATATACAACGTGAAAGGAAAATGTATCTTACAACACTAACAACAATTCGTAAAAGTGCAATTCGCATGGCTTTGGCGACATAGAGTTTGTGCACAAATGAATAATGCCTGATTTGATAAAAAGTTACAAATTATATAACCTCATTGGTATAGAATATACTCACCAAACGAAAACCTCATTCCAGAACTCATGGCAAAGCATCTTGATGCAATGTTAATGCATTTTTTAATATAGAGTAAATAAAAAAATACCACTCCAGCAATGATGCAGCAATAAAGAATGCAATCAAAAAATGATATAATTGAGTAAACTCTAAAACAAGAATACCCACATGTAAACTCAAAGATCATAAGGCCTCTTTGGTACAGAGTAAAGTCACAAAATCAATATTCCAGCCGCATAAAATATCACAAATACTGTAGGCTTTACTGAAAAGAATATACTCACAAAAACTTGGCCTCCGCATAGAAAATTAAAAATAACAATAACAGTGCACTTTCAAAACAAAAACGAATGCCTCACACAAAGATGTGAATAATATGAAGCCTCTTTGCTATAACTGAAGTCACAGAACTAGTATTCCACAAATTACATTGACTTTCCTGTATAGAATGCACAAAAAAGAAAGTTCGTCTTTAATAACCTTCCAACCATTTGATTTCAACATCTGTGTGTCTCGAGTGAATAACAATATATTTATGGAGACATCTCATTAGGTAATATACCTGTGGGAATTTTTGGAGATGGTTCATCGTATGTGTCATTTGAAGATTGTTTCCTTTTAAGAGATGACTGTTTCATTTTATTAGTCGAGGTATTGTTGGACATTTTTCCAATCCAGGTTTGGGTGGGACTTTTATTTTGAAATCAATTCGATATGTTATATACAAAGTAAAACCAAGTGTATATCGATCATATTACATTTTGAGCATTTACAAAGGGTTGTCCAGTAAAAGTCTGGAGAAAAATAAGGGTTTCAGAAAAATCGTCAACCAGAAAAATGGGAGTTGGTGAGAAAGAATTGGAATGTTCTAGAGAACAATTGGAGTGAAGTATGGGTTCCTAAAACTCGAATGGAAAGATTCGATGTTGTCTTTAAATATCGGAGGCTCGTCTGAAAGATTGGATGTGTGCAACACTATAGATTTCTCCCAATTCCAATCGGGACTTTGCACGCGATGGGTGAGTTGATATGATTGATAGGGTCACACCTTGGAACAACGATACATATCGTGAACACAGATGATAAAATATAGATAGTCAATGAAATAAAATATAAATGAGTACCTTTAATTTACTTTCTTACAACATTGCATGGTTATTTTATCGTGGGAGCACAGCATTGTGACACTATGATATATGCGACGCATTTGACTACGCCTTCTTTATTCCTCGATGCAAATCATCTAGTTTAAAAATGTAAACATTCCAATACCAAAATTACATTAATTATTTAAATGATACATCCTTTATATTTTTATTTGATTACGTTTTGAATATCATTAACAATAATCCGTTGTTTGACCCTTGAATACGAAAGAAATATTTCCGTGAATATATTGTTTCTATAAGTACAAAACTAATATGTTACTAATTATAGATTTTCTGAATATTTCGCATAATTTGGTCACATCTGCTCTGTCTCATTTTTTCTAAATAATAAAACGTTGAAAAGTACCCTAGTGCAATGCACTAATTGAAAAATGACATTTACGTTAAAATAGTATTATATTTCTATGTAATCCTAATCCTTTAAATTATATATAAGTTTCGATTTACAATTTGAGTCTCATAAAATGCACTAAAATGCGCATGAAAAGTTTCACGTTTTTTGACCTCTTGTGATGACAGACATAATGCGACCAGAGAGCCTTAATATTTTTTACCAAATGGCATTTTAAAAGCATAAGGACATTTGCCCCTCCCTAAATATCGGTTCAAATGTCGTTATGCAGATATGGTGCCACGGATTTGTAATAGCTATGAGTCATACCATGGACTATTATGTCTACTGACCTGCAAAATCCCCTGATTTTATGACAAGAGCTTCGTAGATGGCATCAAAGCTGTTAAGTACAACTATCAATTCCCCGGCAAAATTCAACTTAAAGATCGCTCCATACTCCTTAGCCCATTTTAGTAAATCTTTGTGAATATTTTCCAAGTCAACTTGGAGTGCATTTCCTACGATAGGTATTCCTTTAGGTCCTGGGATTTTTGAGATAATCCTTGTCTTCGCATTTCTGTATTTTCGGATAAAAGTATACACTAAAAGAGCAAAGCAGGCCAGAAGAACGTAAAATAACATGGTAGAAGTTGATATATATGGCGTATGTTTATTCCTCCCTGTATAAACTTCAGACTGACTAGGTTTGAAAAATATCAATACCCGTCACAGGTCAGACTGATCTAAGAATGAGCTGGAGCATGCATTTTCACTCCAAATCACTTGGTAAAATAGTTAAAATAATATAGAATAAAATTTTTAATATACTGCTAAATAAGTTGAATTAAGAGAGAATCGTAGAGAATATTTTTTCCTGTATAATAAATAGGCAGTTATTTCTTTTATTATAGCGGAAAAAAATATAATACGTATTTTTAAGAATTATTTTTGATTTAATAATATTATTCGTGTATTATTTAAAGGGAACAACATATAATACCATATAATATAGAATAATATTCCTGTCAGGAGCAAATAATATGTTGGCATTTGCAATCAAAAACCGATTATACGCTGTTATTTTCAAGCCATTAATCCCTAATTATTCAATTCCTATGAAATGAGTTTCATTCATACTGAGAATATCCCAGATGCGAGTAGAAATAATCTTGATTTACGTCATTAAAAATTCACAATTCAGTCAAACTGATGTCATATTTGGAATCTACATGTAAAATTACATCTAGAAATGTGGTTTTAAAAAGTGTTTATCAACTTTGAAAAATTAATTTTCTTTGAAAATGTGACTTCTAGGTCGGGGAGATTCCCCATAGAGCCCATGTTGTAAAACCACAAAAAGTGAAATATATTTTCTTGTGTTGGGCAGATAGTATTTTCTTTTACTGGACATATTTGAATTTGCATAACTATTAGATACATAAAGGTAATATGAAAAGTGAACCATTAAAACTGATGCATATTCAAGTTTAAGGGAATTTTGCAATACCCTGCCATGTTAATTCCCCCGAATCAGCCACCTGGTGGCGAAACTGGTAACTGCCTACTCGCATCTGAGTAATTAATCCATTTGTTATGGTTAATGGATTAATCTCTACAGCTGATGGCTCTTAATTCCACAAAAATAATTTGCAAAATAAGTTTTTACATACACATTTGATTATATAATGTCCCTATTGTTATGATTAACATTGTGTTAAATTTTTGATTCAATCAATTAATTCATTGTAAAGTTAATTTTTGAATTCTTAATTAATTGGTTTTCCTCACATTTTTATTCCATTGTTTCCTTGTCACATTAAGTTTATAGCAAACAACATTTAAATTGATCCCTTCTTACACAGGTACAAACAACCACCTGTATTCACTTTGCCAACCGGAAAAACAGTCATGACACGGAACTGCTCAATATTCAATAAACTTATTACGCATTTTATACAGACCCTTAGCCAAGGACCCCCCTCCCCATGGCCAACAATACTTTCAAAATCATGTAGTTTTTCACCATTCACATACATGTATTGACATTCCAGAGCAACAAGCTTTAATCCCTAATTATTCAATTTCCATGATTTGAGTTTTGTTCACACTGATAAATAATCTGTTTGTTAGAGTTAAGGGATTAATTTCTACAGCAGTTGGTTCTAATTTCAACTGAAAAATAAATTGCAAATTTAGTTTTTCATATTTATTTGATTGTATAATGTCCCTTATGTTATAATTAACATTGTGTTAAAATTTGGATTTAATGCATCCATTTAACAGAAAGTTAATTTTTAATCAGTGGGTTTCCTCACATTTTTACCCCATTGGGTTGCCTCACAATTTAACTCAATTGTTTTTCTGTCAAATTAAGTTTACAACAAACAACACTTAAAGCCCCCTCTTACACAAACACCTTTAATCACTTCACAAACAACACAAAACATATATGACACGAAACTGCTATATATCAATACATTACGAATTTGGTATTGGTCCGTGGGGGGGGGGGGGGTCGTTGGGTTCAAGTAAATCCCCTTCCCCCCTTGCCAAGATTCTTTCAAAATCCTACATTCTTTACCAATCTGAGCACTATTAAGTGATTTTGGGCCAAAATTATCAATTGTGACCCCTTGGTTTGTTTTGAAAATTGATCCCCTGGGCTAAAACTTATTACGAGCCTGTAATATATTGGATGTGTTGCTCCGATTTCTTCTGGCAAATCACTGATAATAAATTAGGAAACGTGCATTAGATTAACTGATACAAGTGGTCCATGCTAAAACAAAATTAAAACTTGTATTCTCTCACATTTCACAATTCATGTGTTTTCTGTTATCCATATAATATCTGAGATATAAACCAGGGATATAAACAACAGATTAGTCCATGATGGAATACATTTGTTTCTACTACAATTGGACCATTTCTTTTAATTAAAGCTGGTTTTATTAACCTTTCTTTGTTTTCCATTTCCAAATACATATACAATATGTTTAGTTGTTTGATAATGAAAATAAAGAAGCGGGGACATTTTACATTTATTCTTAATATTTCATCTTACAAAGCGATGATTATGCTTTGAGCAAATTGGTGCATGGTAGATAAATATGTAAATAAATAACATATTGGCATATGGTACATGTATGTCAGAGCAATATGATAAGTAAAACTTTAATCCCCAATTATTCAATTTCTTTAATATGAGTTTCGTTAACACTGATACTAATCCGTTTGTTAGAGGCAATGGATTAATTTCCAACAGCCAACAATTCTAAGTTTCACAAAAAAATAATTCAAAAATTCAGTTTTTCATATTTATTTGATTGTATAATGTCCCTAATGTTATGATTAACATTGTGTTAAAATTTGGATTAAATTGATTGACTCAATGGAAAGTTGATTTTTAACTAATGGATTTCCTCACATTTTCACTCCATTGTTTGTCAGCCATATTAAGTTTAAAAAGCTAAAAACATTACGCATTTAATACAGGCCTGTACCTAACGAGTAACGACCCCCCCCCCTTGGCCAACAATTTTTTCAAAATCATGCAGATTTTCATCATTCACATTCATGTATTGAATTCAGAGCAATATAAGTAATACTTTAATCCCTAAGTTTTTTCAATTTCTATGAGATGAGTTTTGTTCACTGATTACTAATCTGTTTGTGAGAGTTAATCCGTTTGTTGGAGTTAATGGATTAATATCTAGAGCCGATTGTTCTAATTTCCACAAAAAATAATAATTTGCAAATTAAATTATTCATATTTGTTTTATTGTATAGAATCCCTCTTTCTATGATTAACATTGTGTTAAAATTTGGATTGAATCGCTTAACTCATTGGAAAGTTAATTTTTTGATTTTTAATTGATGACTTTTTCACACTTTTACTCCATTGTTAACATTAATTTCAATCAAGTTAAATTTCTTTCTTCTAAACATTTATTTGTAAATATTTTTCAAATGGAAATATAACAATCAAAATAAAATAAGTGTGACATGTGTAAGTAATAGAGATGAGAAGGCCAGTAGAATGGTTGATCCTATTAACCATGCCATGCTGTGCATTCTTTGTTTTGTTTGGTTAAGTAATTAACCAGATGTATTGTACATCAAGTTGGACGAGAATAATCGAGTATAATATTTTTAGAACCCAAATAATACAATATAATTTGATATATTCTGCTTAGATTGGAAAATACTAGAAAATAATATTTTTTAGAATGGAAAAAAATTCTATATAAACTGCAATCATCAGTTTGGATTGATAAATATGACCAAATAATATTTTAGAAAGACAGAATAAATATAAATTGGCGCAAATAATTCTAAAAAATAATATTATACTGGGAATAAAACATCCTGCTACATTTTCTTATTGAGATAATCGGATTTGGTAAATGTTTATATGTACAAATAATATATTTGGATCTCACTTATTTCTAATTATATTATATTAATCTCTATATAATATAGTATATTATGCTGATTATATTTTTTTCCTTCATAATATAATATAATAATTACAATACTGAATGGAAATACTGTATTATTACGCATCTTTTTACACAAATATCCGAAAATAAAACATCTTTATATATATTATTTTATTGATTTCACCAAGTGAATCTTCTTTGCAGCTGTGTTTAACACGTATACCTAATTTATTGTGAAATGCACATACCCAGACACAGGAGCGGATCTAAAAGTGTGTGCTCATCTGCAAAAAGCTTATTTCTAATTCTGCAAAATGAGTCATGTTTCTGAAATGAGCCAAAAAACATACTGTGTATTGCATTTAACTACAAGCCACAATAACTGACTTGACACACATGTAACCATTCCGGACACTGTGTGTTTGTTATCTTTCAAATATGCATCATATTTCAATTTCATAAAATCATTACTTTCTTTCAATAAAACCGTAATGTTTTTGTCTGTTTCTCGATTATTTCCTTCACTCTCTGCCTGTAAAAGACACAGCTTTTAGTAAATTGTTCCCAGCGCGGCCTGGCAAAATACCAAGGTTGCACAAACACTTGAAATACATGATTGATATCTAGGGCAGAGTGGTCTATATAACTATCTTTCAAGTAAACAAACGCTCAATGTATTTTGATGAGTATGCCGTTTTCTGGACTATGTTTGATATAAGACGTGTCAATGTTAAACTTATATTAATTCATTTTATGTTAGCACAGTTACTGCTACGGAGCAGGAGTTCGCGTTAACTATATAAATGGGTCAGTGAATTTAAAATATACAAGCACACCTTGGTGGCAATAAATTCAACAAAAAATAGTTGCATTACTTTTTGCATCAAATTACTTATTAAGCTCTTTGGTTAAAAGTGAAATGGTGGCAGAGTATATGGTAACTAAAAACAGAACTGGGCTCTAGATAAATGTATCAAATACGAATGCGTTCATTTCATGCAGCATAGACAGGTCAAAATGTTCGCAAAGCCAACGATAGTTGCCTGACTGACAATTTCTTACCTAGTTGACAACAATATTTGCCTCGTTGTCAAAGGAACACGCATTATTTAAACGTGTCGCATTTGAATAAAGTAAAAAAATGTCACATTTGAATAGGGACAATTCGGGGATTTGTAAAAAGTATCTATTGTTAGTATACTAGGATTTCCTCCAAAACTTGCACATTTTTTAGAAATGTCTTTGTATGGTTACGAACTATCAACCTTGTCCATTTTTTGTCTCACTTTTGCTTTGATTCGAAATGGCTGAGGGTGGAGTACAATCCCGAGAGGAAAGTCACGTGGGTCAGGTGACGGACTTTGAGCGCCATCTGGTGGAAAAATCGTGAATTTCTGCAACAATGTAGCACAGAACAGGAATAATCTGGTTCTTGCTAACTGTTCCCCGACACAGACACGTCGCCCTGCTCCAAATGATATAGCTCTGAAATAGATCAACGATTTCTTGTAAAAAATAACACATTAATGCATGTCAAAAAGGTCATTCAATGAATGCTTGAATGTTTCCTTGAGAGTATGACGACTCGGACGTCAAAGCGAATGGTAAATACAGGATACATATTTCAGGCGACGTATTAGAAATTGATTTGAAAATATATAAATATACAACAGACATATAATATACTGAGATAACAACTAACTTATTTCGTTCCTCCAAAGAGACCAGATTGCCATCATCATCCAACCAACGTTCTGGCTTAAACTGCCAAGGATCGGGAAACAATAAGGGATCGTGGTGCATCGCAAATATGTTCGTCCAGACCTTCGGAAAAGTAAGTACATACAACTATTACAATAGTGAATTATGTTTTAAAAAACGACCGTTCTTTATTTCTATCAAATATGTTTAATATTTATCTAAACGCCATACACATTTATCATTTAGAAAATATAGTGTGAGTATTACCTGTGTACCCTTTGGAACATCATAACCTGCAACACTCGTGTCTACCAAAGTTTTATGGGGTACAGCAATTGGCACGTGTGACAAATAACGTAACACTTCGATAAGCGTCGCTTGAAGGTATGGCATGTTTTCTTTATCGTCAACACTCGGATTCCGGTCTTTACCGACAACTTTGTCTACCTCTTCTTGTAGTTTGTCTTGGATATCTGGATGTTTCATCAGTAGAAGAAACAACCCAGAGATTGTGCCTTTAGTCGTGGTAAACCCCGCACCAATGAGATCCGTTGATGACTTTATGATGTTGGAATCTGATATTTGGTGTGGTGTTGAGGGGTCTCTTTGGGCTTTTAAAAACGACGCTGTGATTGAAATCAAGCTATTTCTGCAATGTTAACAACCAGGATATTGTTCGGCTGCACCGTTAATGACATATGCATAATCAATACTGGGCAATTGACCTTTTCCATATAAAATGAAAATAGATGGCATCATGGGTATTGGTAGGGCTAAAGTAGGGCTGGAATACATGTAAATGTATTGCCAGGGTCACTTAATTTCTTGATTAAGGAAGTTATTCCATTCAGATCAACTTAAAACACCATTGGAATGAACTTTATGATCAAAATAAAATTGTGATCCTTGTAGGAGTAAATGAACTTTTAAAGGTTTTGCAGCATTGTGTCAATGGGGGTTTAGCCAGACCTTTTTTAGACAACTAGAAAATCATTAGAATTTAAATAAAGGTAAATAATGGTGCAAATCAAAGTTGTTTTGATAGAAAATTAAACACAGAATTCAAATATGCCAACAAATAGAATATTTATATTATTAATTGCATTACATTTACATGTACATATTTATATTTACATTTACATGTACATAATAATAAGAATGAAGGAATAAAAAATAAATAAAAATAAAATAAAAAATAGAAGAAAATGTTAGTCTTTAAAGATTTAAAAATGCAGATCTCTTAAAATCTCATTAAAAGCGAGATTTCAATCCTATATGGAAAAAGAATCATTGACTAAAGATTGACGACGGAATTAACACTTAATAAAACATATACAGTGGATATTATGTTGCAATCAAATTTCTCACGGATGTTTTTTCTCGCTGTGTTTTCTTACACCTTTTTAGTCATTATTTACGTGCATTCGTATCCAATGGCAATGCTTATACGATGCATATTAAAAAAACACAACAAATTGTAGTCTAGGAAAAGCACACAACCAGTGATAACAGCATTGATTTTATTCAATGTACCATAAAACCATGTGTCTCCTCTTTTCAATGGTATGTCATTTATTGAAATTGGGCTATGGTTTGGCGAATAATCATTCCCTTTGCAAAGTTGGTCAAAATTAGCTTGGGACCAAGTTCAAAAACATCGCGAAAGTTAGTGCACAGACTAGGTGCCATTGGAAGAAAACATTAAACCAGTGATGACTGTATCCTTTTCATTCAATGTATACACAACGCCACATTTCTCCTCATTGCAATTAAATGGGTTGTTATTCATTGACAGGTACTCAAGTTTGGCCAAATAATCATTGATCTCGCAAAGTGAGGCAAATCTGCTCGGGACAAAGTTTAAAGCATTGCAATAGTCAGACCATGGGGCACAGGGGTAATAGAAAGAAGGTGTGACAGGTGCCACATAGTAGTATAGTAGTCATAACTAGGTTGGTGGTTTTACAAGATAACTGTTTGTTGCATTTTTTGATACACTCTACCTCACATTCTTTCCGCATTTCCGTCAAAACCATGTCTCTGGTAAGAGATGACTCCATCAGTAGTTTATAATTTTGATTTCCGAAAAACCGTAGCCATGGAAACATGTCTAGTTCTACTCCATTGCCTGCTGACATTGCTCTCCCAGCCGTAGCTTGCATCTCGGCAATTTGTTTGATATGAGGGTGGTCGTCTGTGAACTGAACTCCACCAATCTGATGGAACATGCAGCACAACAGTAATATGGCGAGATAAAATAATGCCAAACACACCCGGGAATTTCGCGTCATAATTATTCCTCCGCTAGAGGCGCTGCGAGCGCGCGGCCATTTAGCCGGTCAATGCGGGTCAAACATTGTCCAACTTTACACACGATTTTCTAGTAGTTGATGATGCCCTTTAACGTAGGTAATGATTTTTATATAAAGCTTACATGTATCTGGATTAATAAATTTCCATCCTGTGCAGTTTAAACAATTCGTTTTCTTCCAACTCTATAAGGAATTACATCATAATTTTTTCGAAAATCAGCAGTAAAACTTGACACTGGTTAGCTATTTTTTCTCTACTTGTAATTTGAATTTTAAAATTCCGCCTCGGCCAAGACACAATTTGTATATTTAGCTCAAACGTGTTTCAAATTTGATAAAGATTCATCCTTAAATGAATAGGTGTAGCCCAGGCCATGTCTCGTATATTAGGTCACCATGATGAATTGATTAATTCATCATGGTGACCTAATATACGAGAAACAAATGTCAATTGATTTTCATTCTCTTTTAAAAGGTAAAAGTTACTGCTACGAAATACATGGCCTTCTCAAAATGTTCATATTTTTTAGTGTTATCTATAATTTGTTGAAAGTATATTGCGGTACCTACCACTTCGGCAAGGATTTTCAAAATCATCGTTTGAACAGCGTCGTCGTAATAGAATATCTTAACAACATACTGGTTGACCCCATAAATTTGACACCTAATTATGTAAAATACAATTTTACCATTTTATCGCAATACAATACGCGAGGAATTCAAAGATTGTACTGTGTTCACGATTGCTCATCGCCTTAACACAGTCATGGACTACGATCGGTAAGCTGGAATATCTTAACGACATACATGTTGACCCCATAAATTTGACACCTAATTATGTAAAATACAATTTTACCATTTTATCGCAATACAATACGCGAGGAATTCAAAGATTGTACTGTGTTCACGATTGCTCATCGCCTTAACACAGTCATGGACTACGATCGGTAAGCTGGAATATCTTAACGACATACATGTTGACCCAATAAATATGACACCTAATTATGTAAAATACCATTTTACCATTTTATCGTAACACAATACGCGAGGAATTCAAAGATTGTACTGTGTTCACAATTGCTCATCGCCTTAACACAGTCATGGACTACGATCAATAAGCTGCAATATTTTAACAACATATAGGTTGACCCAATTAATTTGACACCTAATAATGTAAAATACCATTTGATACACTATGCATGAAAAATACACTATTGATATTAATTTCAATACTACTTTATCACACACATTGTGTAAATAAAGCACCAAAATAGTTGAATTGCTATCACTTTTAGTGAAGAAGTTATTAGAGATTAATTGTGATCAAAATATATAAGCACAAGTGCTAAAGGGAAAGGACCAAAAGTTGTAATGGAACTTAGCAAGAAAAAGCAAACTCTAAGTGCATACCAGTCAAGAAAAACAAACCCGTTATAGCCCAAAACCATGATCTAACGTGAAAAGAAACAATGTGTAATACCCCTTTTCCCCCAACCATTCAAGAACCAATATCACAATCCATAAGACCAGAAGACCAAGGGACATTTCATTCATACTGAAGTCATTACAATACATGTTGAAGAAAAAATTAGAAATTGATAGCCAATTGATAGCCAATACTCATAACCTCAAAAATAGTTGTAGATACAAGTACTCATACAAGATAGAGCATTTAGTCTCAAATGATGTGGGATAGATACAATTTGTTTGTCACCCTGTATACGTGTATATACGCGTTTAATGCGTTGAAGGATACGGTCTCTGCTAAGTCTTGCAAATGAAAACGCATTATAGATTCCACCTAAAATTCGTTGAGTGCTTGCATTTGATTATGTTCACTGATGTTGACACATGACATTTAATAGAATTGATATTCAACTAAACAAAATTTCGGGACTAGCTTCAAGCTTAACATTTTAAACAACAGAATACTCAATTTCTCAAAGGGTCAGTAACTTCCATTTATTTTATTAACCATTCCTAATTTTGTATAATATATCTATACTGCATTATACAAAGCCGGAAATTGTAATACAGAATAACTAGCTTTGTCTGGATGTAAACTAATGTAAATTAGTTCTAAATGTTAACTTTGTTTATTTGATGTTTCCTATCACCATGGATTAAATGCTATATTTTTTTCTCTGCAGAATTCTGGTCGTTGACGATGGTCTTATCGTGGAATTCGATACGCCCAGTACACTACTAAGTAATACGGAAGGAATTTTGTTCGCTATGGCGCAGGATGCTGGAATAGTTAGATAACACTGACAGATAACAAGTACAATATAATGATACAGATACTAATGGAGTAATGCAGCTACCGATATAGTGAAATATAGACACAATAAAATCGCAACAATAACCAGTCAAACGAAAAATGTGTACTGTATACATTTGATGAAAATCATAGGTACTGAGTAAAATAATGATGGGAGTTCTGTGCTGAGGGGTTGTATCTTATAAATATACTACTGCCATCTTTCTTTTGAACTAGTTCCTATGCAAAACATATAGCAATATATTATTATATTTTATGCATTTCAGACATTTGGGTAACTGTAATATCATATTTGCTGAATTATTCTACCATCAAAATGTAGCATGACAAAGACCATCGATTTACATAAATAATATAAACTGAATTAAATTGGATAAAATACAGAGGGAAATAAATATACCGGTGTATAAAGTCAGACTATTTATTATCTGTGTCGTTTTCAGTTTTCAGATTTGGCATTTCGCAAAACTTCTGATGTTCTTTTCACCAAAAATGAAATGTTTTCTCCAAATTCCTTGTTTATTCGGTGGATTGGATAGTTATATGGCTTCGTGCCAAGTATCACCATGATTCCCTACCAATAACTATGTCAAAATCAGATAAGTATTTACTCAATTATAAACAACGTATAAGCGATGCTCCTTATGAAGGGAAAAAAAGACATGCGCAACAAATTATGAATATAATCAGATGTTGTAAACGTTTTATTAGTTATAAACGTATGAGATTTATAAACACGCTATGAGTGCGTTGCAAAATCTCTCAATCTCTCATTTGAACCACTGTACTCCATATAGGTTAGACCGCTTGTTGCAGTTCAATCTATTGTCTCGCTATTGCTTTTATTTGAAATGGCAAAGGATGGAGTACTATTCCCAGAGGAAAGTCACGTGGGTCAGGTGACGGACTTTGAGAACCATCTGGTGGACTGATCGAGAATTTCTGCAACAATGTAGCACAGAATAGGAATAATCTGGTTCTTGCAAATTGTTCCCCGACACAAACACGTCGGCCAGCTCCAAATGAGATAGCTCTGAAATGAATAAACATTTTTAAATGAAAATTCCCTTGTAACAGATATCGTTTTTAAGCGAGTGTATTGAAACGATCTTGTTCTGTGTTTTTTTTCATTTGCTTTGTGAGGAGCTTGTGGTAGGCCTGAGGGTCTATAACAAGTTATCCGAAAATTTACTCAAATAGGCTAATCGGATTAAAATTAAGATTAATATTTAATTCATGATAAGGGGAATTGCTGACTTGTTTCGTTCCTCCAAAGATACCAGTTTACCGTCATCATCCAACCAACGTTCTGGCTTAAACTGCCAAGGATCAGGAAACAATGAGGGATCATGGTGCATCGCAAATATGTTCGTCCAAACCTTAAAGCAAGCATAAATTATATTTTTATTTGTTCCATTCTAACCAAGTGTCAACTTGTCTTCCTTTACAAAGATGGAGATTTACCTATAAAACCCCGGCTGTTGGTGAATTGATATAATAATATTAAAGACACTCGATATTTGAAAATTGTAAATATGTAATAGTGGTCTTCTTTACTATAATCTTAAATCTGTCATCATAAAAGTATGAAGAATTAAATAATACGTAGAACCTGTATTCCCTTTGGGATATGGTATCCTGCAATGCTTGTGTCTACCATTGTTTTATGCGGGACAGCAATTGGTGCATGGGACAAATAACGTAACACTTCAATAAGCGTCGCTTGAAGGTACGGCATGTCATCTTTATCGTCAACACTTGGATTCCGGTCTTTGCCAACTACTTTGTCAACTTCTTCTTGAAGTTTTACTTGAATATCTGGATGGTTCATTAGTAGAAGAAAGAAACCAGAGATCGTGCCCTTTGTCGTGGTTAATCCTGCACCAATGAGATTCCCTGACACCTCAATAATGTTAGAATCTGATATTTGGTGTGGTGTTAAGGGGTCTCTCTGGGCTTTTATGAACACTCCCATGACCACGGTGTTATAGCATGACAGATACGACAAGGCAATTGGCCAAATTTTGCGGTAACGATAACAAAAAATGGCGGACGGGAAAGACAGCATGTCCTCTTTTTCGCCTGTAGGCAAGATTCACAGATAAGCTATCCTTTTCAACTAGTTCCATTCGGTGATGCATATGTGAATGGTTATAAAGATTGAGTTAAATCTGTCGTGTGGTCTACAAGAAGCAGAATATAAGCTGTAAACCTACCCAGCTGAGATTTCGAAGTTCATAATTTTTAGTCCTTTTTCGTGTTTTCTCAGTATATGTGCCTCAGAGCCACTCAAAATACTAACTGTACGTAAACTGTGTATAAACAAGCCATAAAATGACAAATGCAGAACAGAAATGTGGTAAATATTGTAGATAATAAGGTTTCAATCGCAAGGTCGTTAGACAGATACGTATGTATCGCATGCTTTTTTATGGACAGCAACGCATTGTATTAGTTTTACATTAGATGTTAGCGGACGGTTACATGCAAGTTCCTGTCAAGTCAAGGTCCCTAGATGGATAGCTCTCTATGTGTGAACTGCCTATATTTGTTTTCAGGACTCGCAAGAGACGCTCTTGCTTGAGCCTCTATAGGGCAAGGAAAAAATAGCGAAAGCCAATGAAAGTGAAAATGATTGTAATGAAGAGGCAAAGGAAGAAATTAGTAACAACGAACAGGCGACGGAAGAAAACAACTCCAAATTAATTGATGATGTCATAAGTGACATTAGACATATATTACCATTATTACAAATCATATTCAGCTGTTTATGTCACCATCTTCATAATAGTACAATAACGTCATTTCTGCGGGCAATATAGTGAAACATTGGACCAAGGGCCGCAGAAATGACGTTATTACCATTATTACCACCGTTAATGCCCAGGGCTGAAATAGCAAAGGACCTTATATACCCTCCATTGGGATCTCCCCATGGGAAAAAATAATTCATCTGATTTTTCAAAATGAGTATTCTGCTTCAATTATTACATTTATATGCACACTAGTATCTTGTTGACCTATATTCAGCACTGTATTGATGTATAGGCCACTTATTAGGGTCATAATTCAATCATGAAGTGTAGAGGCATAGATTCCAAACCAGGAAGTATTTTTGTGTCTGTCAAAATCCATTTACATCCTACGCATCCCTGCATCTTATCCAAATATGTTACTACATAATGAAATATAATAGTATAATCTTTGGTTTTACAAACTTGTATGATATTTGATAAGTGTAAAAGTTGTTTTTGGAGCATTTTTCTATAGCCATTTTGTAGGGGAAAAAATGATGAAAAAATGTACAATCTTTTAATTTTAAGTATGACCTGAATCGCAATTGCAAACTTCATATTTGCACATTTGATGAGATAAACCATTTGTGTCGCATTGTGAAATTATTAAGTTTGCAATTGATTCAGGTCATAGTGTATTTTTGGTATTTCTGTGATAATCAATGGAAACCAATGGCCTCTATTGGGATCTGCTGATATCCTCATGTTAAGTCAATGGTGCACAGCCCCATATAAGTCAATACAACCTTACTGAACGAAATGATCCCTATCTCAGCTTATGTGTGTCCGAGCACTTTAATATTTTCCAAAGTATTATATGACATTTTATTCTTCATGTTACACCTACGAATGATTCATTTTGACCATAGGGATATTTGCCAATAATTGCACCTTGTCCTTTGAAATAGAAAATCTTACGCACTGAACGATATCACTTTTTCCGGGAAACATAGCCGGGCGAATAATATCATTATTTCTCGACTAAAGTCATTAACGCCCGACACAATATTGCTCACGTCAATATAGCAATTTAAATGCCTTCTCAACTAGTACTAAAACCCCTAGAACAGGCCCTGCAAGGTGGTTATAATACGATTTCATCTATTATAGCTTACAAAACTCAAATCCGGTTGAAAAACATTTCAATTTTGGATCACAAGCGATATGAAATGATTCGGTTTTACATATATGACAGTATGAACGAGGTTCGCGTAACTGTCTATCAATTTTTGGCGTATCCGCAAATTCAAAATACATTATTATGGCTTGAGTAGAACATATTAAGTGGTTTACAATGCTTAATTGGCTTTGTATGATCGTATGTAGGTTACATTTATATACACCAAGGTTGTTGCGCAATGTAGAGCATGTCCTAACGAAGAAAAGAAACAAATTACTAAATTTTATGAAGTTTTGAATTTCAAACTCGACAGTTTTTCGCTTATTTCATGTTATCCATGGGCGTCGATTTGCAAAGACTACGTTCAAAATAAACATTACTGAATGCATCACCGAATGCGCCGCTTACATAAATCTTTCATGCTTTTATTGATACGCAGTAGTAGAACATAATGCACCTACCTTAGCTTTCTGTTTCATCGTGGCCATTTTATTGGATAAATCAGTGATCGTATACGACTAACCTCGTTTTCAGAGGTGGCGTATCTGTCATGCTATAACACCGTGATGACGCTGTGGTTGGATTCAAGTGATTTCTGTAACAATCCGAAATTAAATATTCACTGAGTTAAACAATACAATCTTTATATTATAGTAAATTAATCATTATGAATGAAGTAATGGATTACCAAGACTGTAATGTATGACAGTACTTACAAATGCAACGAATGCCAAAGAATGCACTATATGGACATGAGTGTAATGTATGATAAAGAATAAACAAAATCGATGGTAGAGAATGCAAGCCTTGATAAACGATAATGTGTGTGATATATAATGTAATCCATTAGGGAATGTGACGAATAGTAGATGATGTAATGTATGATGCAAATGTTAGTTATGGTAAAGGATACTATGTGTGGAAATAATGTAATGTACAGTCTGTTACTCTGCTTCAAAGGCAAGAAGTTATACCTGAAATATAAAAAATCTAAATAATATTGTGCAATAATATATAGAAAATTCAAACATGACCGTGCTCTATTCGAATTTCTCAACCAATCAGAATGCAGCATAGCCAATATAGAACGTTCTCTAATTAAGGAATAAATAATGATAGGCCATTCAATATGGTGAAATTCAGCACTCGTTGGACAGAATGTTAGTACAAATGCACGAACCGAATGGCCTATCATTATTTATTCCGATTCAAACATAAAAATTAGTAAAAGCCGTGTCTGTGGAACGGGCATGAAGGAAGAATACGCATGCTGTCAAGATTCTGAAGTCGGCCGGAAAAATTTTAGAATTTGTTTGGGCTGTTCTATTTTACTCCCCGTTTTAGATTTTATACGGTGTATAAACTTGAAGTCAGCCATAGTTAAATAGTTACAGTAGTTACGGAGGGAGTAAAAAAGAACAGCTATCCCCGGACAGAGCCCCAGATGTGCAGCTGAGATGTGACGTCACTCAAAACAATGCAAATTGCAGATTGAATAGAGCATAGTCGTGCATCTATGGAGAATTAGAGAACGTTCTATATTGGCTATGCTGCATTCTGATTGGTTGAGAAATTCGAATAGAGCACGGTCATGTTTGAATTCTGCATAGATGCACGACCATGCTCTATTCAATCTGCAATTTGCATTGTTTTGAGCGACGTCACATCTCAGCTGCACATCTGGGGCTCTGTCCGGGGATAGCTGTTCTTTTTTACTCCCTCCTCCCTCTATATTTATTTTTATTTTATCAACACCCCATGTTTGCATGCACCGTATAAAATCGAAAACGGGGAGTAAAATAGAACAGCCCAAACAAATTCTAAAATTTTTCCGGCCGACTTCAGAATCTTGGCATGCGAATTCTTCCTTCATGCCCGTTCCACACAGACACGGCTTTTACTAATTTTTATGTTTGAATCGGAATAAATAATGATAGGCCATTCAATATGGTGAAATTCAGCACGAGTTGGACAGAATGTTAGTACAAATGCACTCACCTTCGGTTCGTGCTTTGTAAAACATTCTGTCCAACTCGTGCAGAATTTCACCATATTGAATGGCCTATCATTATTTATTCATTAAATATATTCATATTGTACACGAATGGCATTTGTATATATAAGATTTGTTAGTGTTTAGTGCAATGGGCATGTGCCCTCTTGTAATTTGAGGTCCGTCCGCCGTGTTATTTTTTGAGAATTAAACAAGGTAGAGAAGCATCAAAATATAAGAGGTTACAGACTTTATGGGCCAATTTACAAGCAACCCGACATATACAAATGTCATTCGTGTGCAATATGAATATATTTTTCTTTATATTATTGCACAATATTATTTAGATTTCTTATATATTAAGTTTAACTGCTTGCCTTTGAAGCAGTGTAACAGACTGTACCATAAAGAATGCAAATTATGACAGAGAATGTAATGTATGATTAAGAATGAACTGTATGGTTAAGGAGTAATGCATGGTAAGTAATATAATACGCAGCGTATCGAGGAATGTGAGGTTTATTTCGTTTATCGATCTATTGACTAATTTAATTGTCACTGTACAGAAATAAATAAAACTAGTCAGGCAATAACACCAGGTTGCCATCGATTTAAACGACTGTAGGCAAAATAAAATTCAAAAATAGAAATTCACGCGTTTGACAAGAATTTATTGAAATTTGAAAAATGTGAAGAATTAAAACAATGTTTATGTATGATTAGATTGGAGCAAGATGTGTATGGTGAAGATAAGATTGAAATGTGTATTAGAGAATACAATGCAACGTATGTAAAGCAAAGAAATTCAGAAGTGTTATACGTACAATGAACATTTTGTAGCAGTGGCGGATCCAGGAACCAACAAGGGGGGGGGGGGGGAATTTTCGGTCAGAGAAAAAAACTTGGACCCCAAAAACCAAAAAGTGGTCCCAAATTTTGAAATTTTGAGGCCTACTTTCTTTAAAATTTGGCCTGAAATTAAAAATAAGGCCTTAGAATGCCTAATAATGACCAAAAAGGCCCACTTTAGGGGCTTAAAGTTTTTTTGGGCTCAAAAATTTTTTGGGCCCAATTTTTTTTTCTTGGCCCAACTTAGGGGGGGGGGCGGCCCCATGCCCCCCCCCCCCCCGGATCCGCCACTGTGTAGCACATCAACTATAACTCTCACTAATATAAATCTAAATATACCTCACATTCTGTCCGCATTTCCCCAATTACAGTAGCTTTTAATCTACATGACTCCTTCAGTAGTTTATAATTCTGATTTCCGAAAAACCGTAGCCATGGAAATATGTCTAGTTCTTCGCCATTGCCTGCTGACATCGCTCTTCCAGCTTTATACGTCATCTCGGCAAGGCCTTTGATATGAGGGTGGTCGTCAGTTAGTTGAACCCCGCCTATCTAAAATTCATGTTACGCATAGTACGAATGAAGACATATAATAAATGTCAGTATACCCGATGACGGCGCATCAAAAGACAAATGCTCTAGAAGTATTCCAGACAATACAAGCCAACGACAGCATAAACTGTATGGTGTTTAACTGTTTCTTTATTCGGTACATTAAATATTCCAAACATACCAAATAAAACAAACAATTTACCAAACCTTTACCCAATCTATCGAATGTTTATATTATATGTGTTTATTAATTTTATAAATAAATAAATAAATATCGAATATAATAATCCATACAATTTATATTCGCTAAATAATTACACTACGTCTAGTTCTTTGTGTTGGCATTTATATTTGATATTTATATGAATTTATGCGATGCAGCGAATCAATTTGTTTTCCCCAAAGCACGTATACACTGTGGCTAGTCGATCTATGTGGATGCAGTCAGGCACATGTAATGTTTCGTGAGTACCCGCCTCTGTACTTTTCAATGGAAGAATTTTGCACTTCTGTTTAAATAATCTATATTTACTCATCCGTGTATATCATACTTCATTGATTTACAAAACCAAAGCTACGCTATAAACACACATTCTCTGATATTTTTACAGAGAATAGATAACTCAAACGAGTTCACTCGACCAGTTTTATCATCTCGCTCATAGCTGTGAGAAGGTATGTATAATTTGCCATAGGTTTACCTTGTAATGGGGAATAAAAAATTTAAGTAATATAATTATTTCACATACACAAATATGTCTGTGTGAAGTAAAATACAAATACAATGCGTTCTATAATATTTTTGGAGTTATGGTATGAAATATCAGCTTTAAAAAAGCAATTTAATTATGATGTATCATGTGGATTAGTAGACGTTCTGATTGGATTCATTGAACAGACTGGCTAGGTTTCAATTGAATCATTTTGAATGTGTGTATTTTCAATATTTTAATCCACAGTGTCCGAAAACAATAATAATGCTATATTGGTAATTGGAAAAATTCCACTTACCACGATTTCAAAAAATTGTAAATAGATAATACTATTCTTGAATGATGGTCATTTGTTTCAAGGAATCTGGAGGCTCGTTCAGCTGAGCTGACAAAATCATCAAGATTTACGGATGGTCCATCTGTTGGCTGCTCATTATCACCTTCAAGGAATGTTAATGGCTCTGAAACTGGTAGCCTTGCCCAAGTCGGTATTTATTTACTTATCTGATCTTGAATTATTACCACCTTGTACAATCCAATGTATCATCGCTGATATTATGCTAAGTTATTCAGCGGTTCCGAGATTCCCATAATACCTAGGCTACCTAAGGGTATCGCAAAACCATATTGATTGACAATATGGACATGGACACAACGTGTGACTTCAGGCTGATTGACCAATCAAAACGTTATCAGGTTGACCTGCATAAAAAAAGCAAACTACCCGTCTAGGACTTGAAATTCAATGATCTGATCGAGTGTTTCTTGAGAGTTACAATATATTATGTTATTAAATGTACATTGGAATGTAAGCAGTCATTAATACTCGTCTAAATGAAATCATGCAATTCAATGTTGATTCAAAATCAAAAATGAATTCGCGATGGAAATGCACGAAGATCTAGTCTGGCAATGTAGGGCCGTCGTTGATTTGTCAAATTTTACCGACAAAAACATTGGGTCGGTAAAGCACATGGCTTCCTCTTGGGTACAAGGCAGTCATAATAGAAATCAAGACAAGTAAAATAGACCGACTTTGGCAAGGCTATGAAACTTGATTTGTGGGTATTCCAGTGGGTCGATGGGTCTTTTGCTCTGAATTCATTTCATTAGCGTACCTAATTTCAACGTTTCCATTGTCATCATTACATGTTATGGACCCCTTTTTTCAAATTAACAGTATCAGCGATAAAACCATAGTTTTTGGCTCACACAGTGAGACTAAGGGATCGACCAGGCGTCCGTCCGTTGGTCCGTCCGTCGGTCCGTCCGTCTGTCAACATTGGCTGCACAAATTAAAACTGCTATTCAGATTGAGTCATTTCCACATTCATTTTATGCATATCCATAATGTCTATTTGACCTATCATCGCCATTTCCCAAGTTCGCCCGGTTTCCGAGAAATTACTGATTTTTAAATTTCGAGAAAAATCGATCTGATGATAGCCTTATAGAAAGTCAAGAGAAGTGAAGAAAAGATTGAAAAAATACCAGTCCAGTCCATTTCCAGGTCCAAGTCCAGGTCCAGGTCCAAGTCAAGGTCCAGTTCAGGTCCAAGTCCAGATCTGGATGTAATCAGGTTTAAACCAGGTCAAAGGTCAAGAACTAGGTCAAATCCAGTACTTTGTCATTTTTTCAATTTTCTCAGTCGTCCTTGAATATTTTTGCTCTGTTTTTTTAATCATGTTCCTTGGAAAAAAGCTAATCCCTACTGACAAGTTGTTTTTGATCACTCTTACCGTTTTTGAGATATGGCATCCGAAAAGTAGGTCACAATAAAAAGTTCTTGGAATTCAATGTATAAGTTATGAAATCCTGCTTGCAGCGAGAAGATGGACCGGTTCTATTGCCCCGAACCGGTCCGTCTTCTCGCTGCAAGCAGGAGGAAATTCTTTGTCACAAAGTTTGGCATTTTCTATAAAATCAAACGCGCGTCATTGAAACTCACAAGATGTAAATAGCATGTCATTTACATCATACCTTGATGGGGAAAATAGATCTTATATGTTAGAAGTACTAAATAAAAGTTATCGTGAAAATGAAATAGTTGTTCTCGAGAGAAAAGAGCATGAATGCGCATTTAGAGAGTTTTGGTCCGTTTAAAAATCTGTAAAAAATTGGGGTACTTAAAAGCATCGGGAGGCATCATATATTTCAAATTAGACACGAGGAAGTCAATATTGAGCAAGTTATGGCTGTTTTAAATTCAAATAAAACCGTTAACCCGTACCGGTCCAGCTTTTGACCCGTACCGGTCAATTTTCGTTAGCTGCGTATACAAAGGGTGGTAATGGCATTTTCCAGTTGATGGGTTTATATATAGTATTTTCAATTTTTCATGAGGGTGCCTTTAGACTACTTGTAATGGGTAGGCTGATTACTTTACTGAATGGGGAATGTTTATCCAAACAATGGATACAAAGAAAATCTGGCCAGTTGTCCATCAGTAAATAAATCATCATGATAAAAGTATAATTTATTAAAGCATCCATTTGTTACCGTTCTGAATCCAAATGATACATAGGTGCATCCATTTTATACATATATGTTGACGTTTACGAAATGTTTTTCAAATATCTTCCCTATAACAGGAATATGGTAGCTGAAACTTTCACCCATTGTCATACTATGTATATTGAATATGTGTGCAATATTTCAAGTCACAATGTTAAGTAGAAACTCTGAGATCACTTACCTCGATTTGCTGTCATATTTTTGCAATGATCCCATTCCCTATAATGTACGCGAGTACCCACGATACATTACATATAAATGACTGCATCCACATAGATCGACTAGCCACAGTGGTATAACTCAATTAATTATATGACTGTACATTCGGTATTTAGATTATTTATATTCGGTAAATATCGAATGCCACATTCGAAAAATTTCGTTATTTTTCGACACCTTACGAGACTTTCAGTTACATGATATATACTCCTCAAAAAAAGTTAAGGACCTCATAGGTTTACATGTTTATCCCCATATTTGTTTAACGACTGTTTTCTAAGCGGGGAACAAAAGAAATCCGTATAAAGAAAATAAATCTGTATCTTGATTCTATTCACTATAAAGTCCGCAACGTTTCAATGTTATATCTCCATTACATTGGGTCAAAATTTGATGTCAAAATTGATGAATTTCATGTAATTTAACAAAAATGGCAGATCCCATGTTAAACAAATGGGGAATGGTTGTTTTTCCATAAGTCATATGAGGAACGATCCATCCATCCGATTGCTCTCAAAATTGAGATTGTAAGAGATAATTAAATTTGCTAAATTGTCTACTTGACAAAAATATGATTTAATTGTCCAGGCTTTACAAAAGTTAATGGTTTCAAATTCAATAATTTTTAATGAACCTCTTATTGAAATAACACAGGTGGTTCAATGAGGTGGTCAAAATTACTTTAACGCTCCGTATCGCTAACTTTAACAACATTAGCGAGACATTTAGCGTGTAAAATGTAAAATCATTCAATTTTCTACTTAGAAAGTATTTTTAATAAATGTTTTGCTGAATAGATATTCCAAAATCTGAGTTGCCCCTAAGCCACCATTCCCCATTTGTTTAACATGGGATCTGCCTTTTTTGTTACATTTCATGGAATTCATCAATTTTGACGTCAAATATTGACACAATGTAATGGAGATATAACATTGAAACGTTGTGGACTTTATAGTGAAAAGAATCAAGATACAGATTTATTTACTTTATTGGGATTTCTTTTGTTCCCCGCTTAGAAAACAGTCGTTAAACAAAGATGGGGATTAACATGTAAACCTATGAGGTCCTTAACTTTTTTTGAGGAGTATATATTTGAACGATGTAGAATAGCTGCGCGGCCATTTTGCAAAACTCACGGTCACGTGACAAAACATTGGACAACAACGAAAGTTATCGAATATTACTTTAATTGCATTTTCGGTAAATAGCAAATTAGCTTTCGGTAAAATGCGTTAACTATATTATAGAAACCATCGTGCCATTGTATACGCTTATGGGCTTCGAGGCTTGATTTTGTCCGTCCCGCGTGATTTCTGACTGAATGTTTTATCTTGTATGAATATGAGATATCGTGTCTACAAATATTTTTGATGTTGTGTGTCCTGCTATCAATTTTAAATCTATTCACACATTTACTTCATTATGAATGAAATGTCCCTTGTGTTGTATTTACAGTATTTACAAAAATTATGTTTCGATTACCAATTTTGAGAAATTTGCCATAGAAAGAATGAATCCATTTTCATTAATGTGATAGGAACTTTGCTCATGATTCCGTATCGAGATTCGACAACTGGTTAAACCTTTTATGATATTTTGAAGTTTCAGAATACAATAACACTATCATGATAATATCTAGATTCTATATCTACATTATACATTTAACAAATGGAGTTTAAAAAGTTCCATCACTTTATAATGTGTATATCCAGTTTGCTGCTCATTTAAAAAGTTTGACTCACATTTCTACAACTTGTCTACAGACTTGTACACTTTTGATGTTGTTGACACCACGTGTGACTTTGGTGGTTTTAAATATTGATCTTAACCTGAAAGGTAGTGTGTATGCTTACATTTCTAGTATCATTGTAGAGCTAAAACGAAAGATAAGGACAGGTCTGTCAGCAGACAGGCGATATCCATTTAGAGTACAGTGTTATATGAGCAGCATATTGTGTGATAGAACCTGCTCGACTCAACGAAAATTGCAAAAACTTTAGTTCTGTCAAAGGGACTATTAAGCTGTGATGGTTTAACAAATATGCATTGTTATAGGTATGTGGGTCTTTTTCTGAGACACCCTGTAGAAGAATCTCAGCAACTATAAAAGTCCTTAATAAATCTGGTTAATTTGTTATTGTATGAATCAAGGATCATGGGATATTACATGCATTTAATCCAGAGTCTTGAATTGAACTAGTACAAATCACCAATTCAATAATTAACTTTATCTTACAACTTTTCCCCCATTAAATCCATTTGGAAAATCATAATGTTTAAGAGCTTAATTTATGAAGATGACGATCGTCATACTGACTGAGATTGCCCATTGAAGTGCCCATTGAAGTCTAATAATTTTTTACCATACCCCGTACTACATCCGTTATCTTGAGTTTCTTGCATATCAAGATTATCATGCTATTGGATCAATATAATATTTGCAAAAAATAAATCACATTTTCTTTACTCCCAAAACTTCTTGCTGCCGAATTTTTGAAATTGCATAACGAACGACTAATTTACAATTTGCACCATCATTCAACATGCACAGGTTGCAGGTTACAGGTTATTTACTGCTGCAAAATATTCATAAATGTTTTCCCTACACATCTTTGTTTCTCCATTGTAATAGTATTAAACTTCGATCTATTGAAAACATCTAGAAATACTTACAACTTCTGCAAGAATCTTCAAGATCATTGTTTCAACAGCGTCGTCGTAATTGAACGGGTTATTGTTTTTGGCGGCAAATTTATCCATACACAAGTTTATTTCACTTTGGGTTATCTTAACTATATTCGAACGCTCCTCTCCGTACATCTTGAGGCCCTGGAGCATGAGTTTCTTCATGTATCTGACTTTATCCGTATAGTCTTGAAATAGGACATCGTCTTCTTGAACCAGTGTTCTAACTCTGAAGGTGTCATTTGCTCGACCTTAATTAAGAAATCATTGTCAAATTATATATGCAAGGTTGATGTAAAAGGTGCTATACTGCTTATTATCTATCACTTTTTGTTATATTTGTAGACAAATTATTTCCTTCATTCGACTACAAGTCACAAGTTATTGGCTTGAGCAAGTGTCACCACCTGCAAATGCTTAACAACCTAAATGTTATTTTCTTATCAAAGGGATTTCCTTGGCAGACCATTTCTCTTCTGTTGCAGTAAAGGAAAGAAGCACAATATCTCTTTTTAACAAGTGGTTCTTACTTTCAGTGCACAAATATTTTCAAGATCCATCAGCTTAGAACAAAAGAAGATATTTCAGAAGGATCGTATCTGTATTTTACCTGTAAAGATTTACACGATAAGCAATAGTGGTTCGATTTTCATGAAAGCATGTTTGGAAGGAAATTCAATGTGCTAAATGATTGTTTATCAAAAAGAGCAATACTCTGATAACTTTGCATTTCCTACATCCTCATAAACAAGGTAACAATATTTCATGAATTTCATTTTCATTGGCACTGACTTCCGACTATGAACAACCCGAATCACCTTGATTGTCATGCCAAAATGTGTCTTATATCTGTGGTCCAAGGTAGAAAAATAACAGAGGCACAGAAACCGCAAGAAATACTATCAAAATGGGCCAATTTGATCCCCTTTGCAGACATTAGGGATATAGAACACCGGCGTACGTGACATGTACTAACATGTATAAACTTTAATACATAATCTTTTCGATATTGCAATTGCCAGCTCCGTGTTCTATATATATACACATTTACCTGCTATTAAGACAATGTATCTTCAAATAAAACCTATAGCCAAGTAGATAATTAGCGTCTCTGCTAGAACACTTTTGTAAATGGTTTTACGAGCAATGTTGTTTGTGTTTATGCGTCATACACTACGTTGATATAACGTACACTCATTGAGTAGACGTTGTCATTTCTAAATGCCCAAACATGCAAGAAACACTTTGGTACAAGAATGATCTTGATTTAACCTAGAAACCATGCAGAGAAACTATACTTTTACTTAGTCAGAGTGGCACCACAGAACGGCTATAGCTCCGTTGACTAACCATGATACAGTAATGGTGTGCAAGAAATTTAAGGAAAATAATGGCGGTGTTCCCTTCAATATGAAATATCTGTCAACGCATGTCACAACACAAGCTTTTTGTCAACACGTGTCACAACACAAGCTTTTTGTCAACGCATGTCGCAACACAAGGTTTTTTTCAACACACGTCACAACACAAGTTTTTTGTCGACGCATGTCACAACACAAGCTATTTGTCAACGCATGTCACAACACAAGCTTTTTGTCAAAACATGTCACAACACAAGCTTTTTCTCAAAGTATGTCAAAACACAAGTTATTTGTCAACGCATGTTACAACACAAGCTTTTTGTCAACGCATGTCACAACACAAGCTTTTTGTCAACACGTGTCACAACACAAGCTTTTTGTCAACACGTGTCACAACACAAGCTTTTTGTCAACGCATGTCGCAACACAAGGTTTTTTTCAACGCACGTCACAACACACGTTTTTTGTCGACGCATGTCACAACACAAGCTATTTGTCAACGCATGTCACAACACTAGCTTTTTGTCAACGCATGTCACAACACAAGCTTTTCATCAATGCATGTCACAACACAAGCTATTTGTCAACGCATGTCACAACACAAGCTTTTCATCAATGTATGTCACAACACAAGCTATTTGTCAACGCATGTCACAACACAAGCTTTTCATCAATGCATGTCACAACACAAGCTTTTTGTCAACGCATGTCACAACACAAGCTTTTCATCAATGCATGTCACAACACAAGCTATTTGTCAACGCTTGTCAGAACACAAGCTTTTTGTCAACGCATGTCACAACCCAAGCTTTTTGTCAACGCATGTCACAACACAAGCTTTTTGTCAACGCATGTCACAACACAAACTTTTTGTCAACGCAAATTTAGCTATTTCGTCGACTAAAACCAATGACAATCTTTGATCAAAACATATATGTAAATGCTTTGTTTATGGGACATTTTAGCGACTGCAAATATGTTTACTCTGTTAATTTGTACTTACAATATGTTAACTGGTATTGCAATTGTTATATTTTAACTTAGATTTGATATTCAAATGGCCCGTTAAAATGGGAAGGAAAAACATTGAAATGAAATATTAGTTATTTTGATAAAAAAAGGTTAGACGTTGATAACATATGACCATTGACCCAGGGCACATATACTTTTTGTGTGCCCAATGATTGCTTTAAGAATAAGGGCCTTTCTCAACTCAAAGGTCTCACCAATGTACTTCTTTATTGAATTGTCATTTTCATTTGAATCGTCTATCTTTATTTGTACTGACCTGCAAAATCCACTGATTTTGTGACAAGAGCATCGTAGATGGCATCAAAGCTGTTGAGTACAACTATTATTTCCCCGGCAAAATTCAGCTTGAAGATTGGACCATACTCCTCTGCCCATTTTTGTAAATCTTTGTGAATATTTTCCAAGTCAACTTGGAGTGCATTTCCTACGATAGGTATTCCTTTAGGTCCTGGGATTTTTGCGATTATCCTTGCCTTCTCATTTGTGTATTTTCGGAAAAAGGTATACACTAAAAAAGCAAAGCAGGCCAGAAGAACGTAAAATAACATGGTAGAAGTTGATATATATATGGCGTATGTTTATTCCTCCCTGTTTAAACGTCAGACTGGCTAGGTTTAAAATATATCCATACCCGTCACAGGTCAGAGTAATCTAAGAATGAGCATGCCTTTTCACTTCAAATCTTCTTTGCAGTTGTGTTTAACAAGTATACCTAATTTATTGTGAAATGCACATACCCAGACACAGGGGCGGATCTAAAAGTGTGTGCTCATCTGCAAAAAGCTTATTTCTAATTCTGCAAAATGAGTTCTGTTTGAAACGAGCCAAAAAAACATCCTGTGTATTGCATTTAACTACAAGCCACAATAACTGACTTGACACACATCAGGGGCGGATCTGGGAATCAACAAGGGGGGGGGGCCCAAATTACAAGTCAGAGAAAAACACGCCCGCGCTTGCGCGGAAAAAAATTTTGGGCCTCTAAAACCCAAAAGTGGGCCCAAATTTTGAACTTTTGAGGCCCATTTTCTTCAAAATTTGGCCTGAAATTAAAAAATAAGGCCTTAAAAGGCCCAGTAATGACCAAAAAGGCCCACTTTTTGGGGCCTGAAGGCCTTATTTGTCCCAAAAATTTTTTTGGGCCCAATTTTTTTTTTCTGGGCCCGGGCCCCCAGCCCCCCCCCCCCTAATCCGCCAGTGCACATGTAACCATTCCCGACACTGTGTGTTTATTATTTTTTGAATATGCATCAAATTTCAATTTCATGAAATCATTACTTTCTTTTAATAAAACCTTAATGTTTTTGTCTGTTTCTCGATTATTTCCTTCACTCTCTGCCTGTAAGACACAGCTTTAAGTAAATTGTTCCCAGCGAGGCCTGTCAAAATACCAAGGTTGCACTAACACTTGAAATACATGATTAATATCTAGGGCAGAGTGGTCTATATAACTATCTTTCAAGTAAACAAACGCTCAATGTATTCTGATGAGTATGCCGTTTTCTGGACTATCTTGGTATGTTTGATATAAGACGTGTCAATGTTAAAATTATATTAATTCATTTTATATTAGCGCAGTTACTGCTATGAAGCAGCAGTTCGCGTAAACTATATAAATGGGTCAGTGAATTTAAAATATACAAGCACACCTTGGTGGCAGTAAATTCAACAAAAAATATTTGGTTTCTTTTTGCATCAAATTACTTATTAAGCTCTTTGGTTGAAAGTAAAAAGGTGGCAGAGTATATGGTTACTAAAAAACAGAACTGGGCAAGGGCGTAGGAAGGTGTAAATTCAACACTACGCCAAAAAATGAAACATTTCAAATCTTCTATATCAAAACGCCTATTTTATGCTTGTAAAATGTCATGTTATGGCAATACCTTTCTAATGTACTTAAAATGTTCGAATGCATATAAAATCACCATGGAAAGCCGATTTTTTAAATCTCGACACAACTCATTCTCACTTTCCTCATGTTAATGTTATTTTTCTCGAATGATAAAGACGACTTTCCAGATAACAATGAGAGATTTCTAACGACTTCTGAATAATTAAATTTAGATACATATTATTGTCTGATTCCATTGTGTATCGTGCAATACGACAATATAGATTAAAGAAAGCACAGTGTGTCTCAAAAAAAGTTACACTTACAAAAAGTTCAATTGACTTTTCCCCTAAAATATACTTTGGATACCAAAAGACAAATCTAGTAGTCAATAGTGGCTCGATTTTTATGAAATCTGTTCAATGATTATTTCCCAAAAAGTGCAATAATAATTACTTTGCATTTTCTCCAGTGTTAACTTTCAATATTTTAAAACTAATTCAATATGAATTTAATTTTTCAAAAAGTGTCATTTACCTGCGGCCAAGGTTAGACAGAGGCACAAATAGAGTACTATTGAAAAATCGAGCATATCATGATCATATGGTATCAAAAAACATTTGTTTAGGTTAGTGTGCTCGAGATACAATTTATGCACAATGAGAAAAAATAACTATAGAAAATTAATCAGCCTTTTTATTCTCACTTTTCAACACTACGCACTGGCGTTTTGGCGTACATTGTTCCTACGCCACTGCTGGGCTCTAGATAACTGTATCATATACGAATGCGTTCGATTCATGCAGCATAGACAGGTCCAAATGTTCGCAAAGCCAACGATAGTTGCCTGACTGACAATTTCTTACCTCGTTGACAACAATTGTTGTCAAGGGAACACGCATAATTTAAACGTGTCGCATTTGAATAAAGTCAAAAAATGTCACATTTGAATAAGGACAATTCGGGGATTTGTAAAAAGTATCTATTTTCAGTATACTAGGATTTCCTCCAAAACTTTTAGAAACGTCTTTGTACGGTTACGAACTATCAACCTTGTCCATTTACTGTCTCACTTTTGCTTTGATTCGAAATGGCTGAGGGTGGAGTACAATCCCGAGAGGAAAGTCACGTGGGTCAGGTGACGGACTTTGAGCGCCATCTGGTGGACAAATCGTGAATTTCTGCAACAATGTAGCACAGAACAGAAATAATCTGGTTTTGGCAAATTGTTCCCCGACACAGACACGTCGGCCTGCTCCAAATGATATAGCTCTGAAATAGATCAACGATTTCTTGTGAAAAATAACACGTTAATGCATGTCAAAAAGGTCATTCAATGAATGCTTGAATGTTTCCTTGAGAGTATGATGACTCGGACCTCAAAGCGAATGGTAAATACAGGATACATATTTTAGGCGACGTATTAGAAATTGATTTGAAAATATATGAATATACAACAGACATATAATATATTTAGATAACAACTAACTTATTTCGTTCCTCCAAAGAGACCAGATTACCATCATCATCTAACCAACGTTCTGGCTTAAACTGCCAAGGATCAGGAAACAATAAGGGATCGTGGTGCATCGCAAATATGTTCGTCCAAACCTTCAGAAAAGTAAGTACATACAATTATTACAATAGTGAATTATCTAATGGAAAATCCTTTCGTTTTAAAAAACGACCGTTCTTTATTTCTATCAAATATGTTTAATATTTATCTAAATGCCATACACATTTATCATTTAGAAAATATAGTGTGAGTATTACCTGTGTACCCTTTGGAACATTATAGCCTGCAACACTCGTGTCTACCAAAGTTTTATGGGGTACAGCAATTGGCACGTGAGACAAATAACGTAACACTTCGATAAGCGTCGCTTGAAGGTATGGCATGTTTTCTTTATCGTCAACACTCGGATTCCGGTCTTTACCGACAACTTTGTCTACCTCTTCTTGTAGTTTGTCTTGGATATCTGGATGTTTCATCAGTAGAAGAAAGAACCCAGAGATCGTGCCTTTAGTTGTGGTAAACCCCGCACCAATGAGATCCGTTGATGACTTTATGATGTTGGAATCTGATATTTGGTGTGGTGTTGAGGGGTCTCTTTGGGCTTTTAAAAACACCCCCATGACGCTGTGATTGAAATCAAGCGATTTCTGCAATGTTTACAAACAGAATATTTTTCTGCACCATCAGAAGACGTAAATGATACAAAATGTATATATTGAATCTCTCGAAGTGTAAGAACGTGATGTACGGTACTAACGTTAATCCATGGTCAAGATATGTGGTCGCTATACTAATGATGTTCCATATGCTGTCAACATTAATGATATATATGCATAATCAGTACTGGGCAATTTACTACAGATTGACGACGGAATTAACACTTAAAGAATTAACACACAAAGATATACAGTGGATATTATGTTGCATATCAAATGTCTCACGGATGTTTTTTCTTGCTGTGTTTTCTGACACTTTTTAGTGTTTATTTACGTGCATTTGTATCCAATGCCAATGCTTATACGGTGCGTTATATTAAAAACGCAACAAATTGTACTCTCGGAAAAGCACAAAACCAGTGATAACAGCATTGATTTTATTCAATTTACCATAAAACCACGTGTCTCCTCTTTTCAATGGTATGTCATTTATTGAAATTGGGCTTTGGTTTGGCGAATAATCATTCCCTTTGCAAAGTTGGTCAAAATAAGCATGGGGCCAAGTTATAAACATCGCTCAATTCAGTGCACAGGAATAAAACATAAAACCAGTGATGACTGCATCCTTTTCATTCAATGTACCACAACGCCACATTTCTCTTCTTTGCAATTAAATGGTTTGTCATTCATTGACAGGTATTCAAGTTTGGCGAAATAATCATTGATTTCGCTAAGCGTGGCAAAATCTGCTCGGGACCAAGTTTAAAGCATTGCAAAAGTCAGAGCATGGGACATAGGGGTTATTGGAAGAAGGTGTGACAGGTGTCAGATAGACTGTAAAGAGTTGATACTCATACTCTTACAAAAATGCATCTTATAGCCCTCCTAATTGCCACCACTTCTTAGCACACAAAGATGTGCTCGTCTCTCAATATCATCCAAGGCTAAGCTCTGTGGGTTAAAGGGGAGAAATCAGCCCATTAGCAGTTTGACAATATCTGTTGGACGAATCTGTTCCCGAGATAGCTTCAAATGAAAAAGTCACACGAATTCACGTCAAGAAAATCTTCCATTAGCACTTAGCACTTGCACTGACTTTTGCAATATCTAAAACTTGGTCCAGGACAACTTTGCAAATAGCCGGAATGATTTTTGCCAAGCCATGACCACATTAATTTTGTACCAATCACATACCATTGCAAAAAGAGGGACGTGGCTTTGTGGTACATTAAATAAAATTGATGTAGTCATAACTATTTTGTGGTTTTACAAGATAACGGTTTGTTTCATTTTTTGATACGCTCTGTATACCTCACATTCTTTCCGCATTTCTGTCAAAACGATGTCTCTGGTTCTACATGCATTTGTCAGGAGTTTATAGTTTTGATTTCCGAAAAAACGTAGCCATGGAAACATGTCTAGTTCAACCCCATTGCCTGCTGACATTACTCTTCCAGCCTTAGCTTGCATCTCGGTAATTTGTTTGATGTGAGGATGGTCGTCTGTGAACCGAACTCCACCTATCTGATGAAACATGCAACACAACAGTAATATGGCGAGATAAAATAATGCCAAAGTACCCCATTTCTCGTATAGGTCTCGTATTAGGTCACCCATGATGAATCAACAAATGTCAATTGATATTCATTCTCTTTTAAAAGGTACAAGTTACTGCTACGAAACACATGGCCTACTCAAAGTGTTCATATTTTTAGTGTCATCTATAATTTGTTGAAAGTATATTGCGGTACCTACCACTTCAGCAAGAATTTTCAAAATCATCGTTTCAACAGCATCGTCGTAATAGAACGGCTCGTTGTTTTTAGCGGCAAATTTATCCATGCACAGGTTGACCTCACTTTGGGTGATCTTGACAATATTCGATCGTTCCTCGCCGTACATCTTGAGTCCCTGGAGCATGAGTTTCTTAATGTATTTAATTTTATCCGTGTAGTCTTGAAATAGGACATCATCACCTTCTACTAGTGTTTGGACTCGGAAGGTGTCATCTGCACGACCTGAATAAATCATTGACAAATTCAATATTATTAAAATAAGAAACTTGCTTCATGAACGCATTTGATGGGATCCATCAGAACTGGACATATTACGAACAGAGTTAATGCACCAATTCGCAAAACAAATAAAACAAATCTTACAATTGAATGTCTTGACATTAAACCTTTTTTTACAATGGCCCATATTTCCTGATAATATCCCATTATTGGACTTCTAGATTAATGAATATCTTAAAGCAATATGTGCTAGAAGTTCAACATAAAAATGAGACTGCTTGAAGCCAATATTATCAGCAATGAATGATGGGAGCAGCAGTTTTGTCAAGTATTTGAATCTCCGGTCAAGATGCACCACGAATGTTTAGATAATGGTGGAAAATACTGTATAACAGTAGTAATATCAAATGACCAAATAATGTTACAATACTAATTCTTTTGCTGTTGTGGTACATAATTTGATGTAAAATAGCAACATATGATGGAGTGTCAAGATGATATGAGCAGGAGAAAAGAATTATAAAACATGCTGTTCCACATACCCGCGACTCCTGTTACCATAACAACCATAACTTTTTATTTTCAAACAATTTGTCATGAGAGTTGCAGGAGGAATTGTTATAATGTAATTCTACAATTTGTAGCAATTTTATCTCGCAGCAGGTAAATCTATTGAAACAACAGCATTTGTATCTTTACTTACCGGACACCCTGTATGTGCATATTTCGTGTATGGTATCAGCTGATTTTTAAAACCTTGATATATAGAGAGAGACAGGGGCGAAAGGCACAAAAGTGACGTTACACAAGGTGGTATTCTTAAGACAACGTTAACTATGCTTCTGTAATAATTTGACATAAATGCATATTTCGTGCATGATATAATCTTCTATATAAAAGAAACATAGGCAGCAGCCGCTTCAATGGGGTAACACAATGTGATATTCTAGAATATAACTTTTTACTCCGTTTCTGTACTTTATACCAAACAAATGCATTTTGTGTTTGACATTAATCGATTTTTAGAATAGATAACTCCCTTTCACCAATAATAAAAAAAGATTATTGAAAACGTCAAACATTTCCTTGAAATCCAACAATGCACAGCAATCTTTTTAGATTGAAATGTCTGCTTAATTGGCACTGATTAGAGTGAAATTGAAGCTCTTTTAAGAGAAACATATGTGTGTGGCCTATATGTATTGAAAACTTGTCACTGTGCACCATGTCACGGGACCTTCTTAGGCAATTGATGTCATACACTAAATGCATCTATTTTGTGGTATAAAATACAAACACAGAGTAAACAAGGCACATGGTGAACAATATTGTACCTATAACATAGCAGTGTGAACTTGATGACCAAGAGAGCAAGGTGGCCGCCGAAAAGTTCATCAGTTCTAGAACTTCAAACCATGTAAATTGTGTAAAAAATTCAAGAAAATCAGTTAAGTAGTTTTCCTAGAATTGTGATGACAAGATTTATCTGAAAATGTTCATGATGGCTGCTAGAATACAAAACGGCTACCGAAAAGTTAATCAGACTGATCAGCTGTAGAACTTTCTACCATGTAACATTTGTGAACATTTGAAGCAAAATTGTTAAGTGTTTTTTCTGGAATCATGATGACAAGATTTATCTAGAAACTTCCAAGATGGCCGCCAGAATGCAAGATGGCTACAGGAAAGTTAATCTGCTCTATAACTTCTTACCATGTAACATGTACTGTGACAATTTTAAATAAAACTATAAAGTCGATTTCCTTGAATCGTGATGACAAGATTTATCTAAAAACTTAAAACTTCCAAGATGGCCGCCAGAATGCAAGATGGCTGCCAAAAAGTTAATCATCTCTAGAACTGCATACCATGTTCATGTGTGAAAATTTGAAGTAAATCTGTTAAGTCGTTTTCCTGAAATTACGATGACAAGATTTATCCCAAAACTTCCAAGATGGCCGCCAGAATGGAAGATGGCCGCCGACAAGTCAATCACCTCTAGACTTTCTTACCATGTAACTTGTGTGAAAATTAGAAGTAAAGCCATTTGATTTTCCTGAAATCATGATGACAAGATTTATCTTAAAACTCCCAAGATAGCCACCAGAATGCAAGATGGCCACTGAAAAACTAATGAGGTCTAGGACTTCTTACCATATAACATGTTTGAACATTTGAAGTACATCTGTTAAGTTATTTTTTGCGATCACAAGATTTATCTGAAAAAATACAAGATGGCCGCCAGAATCCAAGATGGCCGCCGGAAAGTTAGTCAGCTCTAGAACTTCTTACAATGTAACATATGTGAACATTTGAAGTAAATCCATCTGGTGGTTTTCCTGGAATCGTGATGACAAGAAAGTGAGACTTCGGAATGCCACCTTGTCTAACCTCATTTTGGTGCATTTTGTTCTGTTTCTATCAATATAAGAGGTGTTTTCTTTATGAGGAAAGTCTGTTCTTTCAAACGATACAATTATTTTATGAGGGAAAGTACCGGACAACAAACTCCTTTTCTAGAGCCCTTTTGGAAATGAGATCAGGGACTATTCTACTAGGAACTTTTTTAGATTGAGTTAAAAAGTCTAGATGTGTTGAGAATGAGAAAGAATTAATTTCAAATTGAGTTTAGGACGTATTAGACACAGTGTTAGGGACTGCTTGTGAACGAGTTAGTAAAATATAGCTATCACAACAAACTAGTCATGTCATTGTAGCATACTAGGAGAATTGGCATTATTACTCCAAAACTGTTCTGCATGGAGTCTTTTGGAGATGGATAAATTAACACGGGGCTCAATAAAGGACTTTTATAGTTTTTAACGGCTTAATATATCAAGCAAACAGAAATGTAAAAACTCTAAATGTAAATCTATATGTAACAATTAATATGCACACATGTAAATAATCTGTTAATGTGAATTGTCTGTAATTTTATGTAATGTTTGAATCTTCAACTATGTGGAGGAAATAAAGACACTGAACTGAACTGAACTAGTCGGTTATAATGGCAGCCAATGGGGAATTTCCAAAATTCAAACGCAAATATCTTTGGAACTAGGTATAAGAAAAAATCTTAATTTTCTTATTTTGAAGATAATCATGTTATTGTAAGATCCTGAAAATATGGGCTTTATTAATCTTAAACTGTTCTGCCAGGGGATCGTTTGAAGATTGATAAATTAACATGGAGCTCAATCTAAATGTCCAAAATTTTCAAGGCCTGCTATTATCAAATGGGGCCACTTTTCAACACCACTTCGTTAGTTATCAAAAATATATGTACTAGTTATCAAAAATATATGTATTAGTGATACATATGCAATTCTAGGGTTTTATTGCCGTAATTGACCTCCCTATTTGAACGTAATTGCCGTACTTCGACTCTACTAACGGCGTTGTGTAATCAGTTATTAATTGCAGTAAGGCCCAGAAAGGCAAAGTAATGTCCAAAATGCCGAAAAACTTAACGGGAATGCCCCCTGGATCCGCCAGTGGATTGTTCAATAAAACGATAACATTTCGAAACATTAATTCCTAGTCGCATGTATACTGACCTGCAAAATCTGCTGATTTTGTGACAAGAGCTTCGTAGATTGCATCATAACTGTTTTAAGTACAACAACCAAGTCCCCAGCAAAGTTCAACTTGAAGATCGGCCCATACTCCTCAGTCCATCGAAGTAAATCTTTGTGAATATGTTCAAGATCAACTTGGAGTGCATTAACGAATATTGGTATTCCTTTAGGTCCTGGTATTTTTGCAATAATTCTGAATTTCTCATTTGTACATTTTTTGATAAAAACATACACTAAAAAAGCAGAGCAGCTTAAAAGAATGTAGACTAACATGTCAGAGTAAGATATGCATGTAGCTCTGTATCTCTACACCAACTTAACATTTAGCTAGTCAATGTTACAAGGCCGAGGTAACATTTTAACAACTAGGGTTAACGTGTAATGAATCTGGCAGATTTAAACACACTCTACATACCAAAGAGTATGTAGATGACGTTTATTGTGGACTTATATGCAGACTGAAATAAAAACTACTTGAAACAACACTGGATTTTGTCCTTCCTATATCATTTGAGACCGAATACTCCTGTAAACATACTAAGATCTGCTACTATTTTTGATGTGATGAGTATTGGCAATTATCAATCGTAACATTTATTATCAGGACTTTAGTATGAATGAACTATGTTGTCTCAAATTGTGATAAATGTATTTTTATGGTGATGCAAGGGTTGGGGTATTGGTATTGTTCGTTTGATTATGGTTTTGAACAAGTGGAGTTTGATTTCATTATGACTTATGTTACTAGTTGTTTTCTGTTACATATTGTAACGTTTTTCCCGTGGTCAGGAATGCGGGGAAAATGCGGGGAAGGTGGACTCTCCCGCGTGTTACTTAATTGCGGGATGTTTCAGAGCGGCGTTGACTCCGCTCGCTACAGTCGCCTGAGATGTTACTCCAAGGGAATGTAAGGGAAAAGAAAGTATTACGCAATCTGGGGTTTGCACTACACAAGTTCCCTCCGGAACTCAATACAATACAACAATGAACATTCAAGTACAGAATAAAAATAAAGTTATATATTTGCTCTTTATGAGCCAAACAATGCTTTAGAAACAATAGAAAATTATGTACAAAGTCGAGCTCAAACTACCCTAAACTATATAATCACTAATAATGCCTTAAGACAGAAAAACATGTGATGTCAAAGAATGATTTCATTAACTTCCTTATTTCCGGAATTTCTTATCAAAACCGGTAATGGTGAAACGAAAACACAAAAATCAATTTTCATCACATTCCTCCCTTCCCAGGGGTAGGTTCGTCCCGAACCGAAAACAAAAAAAAACAAAAAAAGATGAAAATTGATTACGGCTACTACAAGTCCGTGTTTGACCTTCCCTGATCTATAGATCTATTTCAACACTCTTTGTATTTACATCCTCAATGAGCCCAATTCGTCTCCTCCATGCCTCCTCCCGGTTTCCAATTTGTCCTTGTCGAGGACATGATTTTTCATTTTTGTCAAATTGCCTCTGTCGGTCCTTTCCAGTGTAGTTCTCCTTTGAGTCCCAAGATGATCTAGAACTCCATCTACTACCACTCAGGGGAGGAACTTTGTTCGCCAAGTCTGGGCACTCCTCTGATGTGACATCGGTAGACTCTGTAGTTTCCGATCCTACATGGAAGTTTGTATCGGTACTACCACTGATCTGTTCTGTTATGACAAATGTATTAGGTTGAATTTGAATATTCTCCTTTGTTCGACAATCGGAACAATCATCTCCTTTAGTTGCTGGGGAGACTTCAGCAACTTTCCTAGACAGTGTGCCACATATCTCTGTCTTGGCAATTATTTTCCGTACAATTTAGTTGTCTCCCTCTCCCGATTCAATTTTCCCTTTGTTCTCTATTAGAAATTGAATAGGGGCAGCAACTTCAGTTTCCTGCTGTTTTGTTGGCATAACATTCCCTCGAATAATGCCCCATCCTGTGACATCTGTAACATTCAACATTCCTTTTAGGGAATTCCTCCTTTTGTTTGTTAGTCTGAATAAGATCCTTGATGGCTTCCTTCATAGATTGGAGACCTTCCTGAAAACTATGCTTCATGATCTCAACCAATTCCGAGAAAGACTCCTTGCTGTCTCGGGATTGATCTTGACATTCTTCCACCGCTGCAATTGCTCCATCCTTATAGCGGGGCAATTGCTTCATCCCTTTTCGCATCTTCTCTGACTCCAAATAGGATTCCTCCCGAATAGCTAATTCAATAGCTTCATCAAGGGACTGTGCATTTCCCTGATGTATTGCTCTTCGCACTTCCTCCTGGGGAATGGCTAACTCAAAACTTCTTCGTGCAAGCCTATCCTGTGCAGATTTTGTCATCTCGGGGTAAGCCAGGCAAGTTAAGCGGCGGATATCCTGTCCTAAACTGGCTAGAGACTCATTTGGTTTCCGAGTCCTACTCGACAATTGAGCTTCAAAAATGTCGGCCTTCCCACCTGGTCCGAATCTTTTCTCCAGGGCAGACACCAGATCTTCATAAGTGTATCCAGGATCCATTTCCAACATGATTTGCTGGGCTGGACCCCTCAAACTGGTGACTAAGAATTGATATTGCTCCTGGGCATTCCATCCATTAGCCTTTACACAGGCATTAAAATAAGTCCTATAACCCATCCATGATGTTTTGCCATCATATGGCTCTGGGCGAATTTTTACCCTAGCTTGATTATTGCTCCTTCCCTGGGCCATTTCCTTACAAAATTCCATACATGTTTTAGCCAACTGAGCCATTTGAGTTACAGCAAATGAAGATTCATTATTTGTCTCCTCTGAAATTCCAGGATTTTGGCTGAACTCCGATTTTGAGTCCTTCCTACAATGCCTGATACCTTCCCATTGCTCATGTTGGTGTTCATCCTTTTTAGGTTGTTTCCATTCGAACTTGTTTTCCGAGTTCCTTAAGAAATTGTTTAAGGATTTAACTTTACTATGTGCCATCCAGTTCCGATGTTCCTTACAGGGATCCTCTCTTTCAACCTCCAAATCTCTTCTAGTTTCCACATAGCTTTGAGTGCCTGGCACCTCAAATGAGCTTTCCCTTTGAAATCTAGCCTGCCTCTGCAAAGGCCAGGGGTTTTCCGCCCTTTCTACTGGATGATCGCCATCCCATTCCTGTAACGGGGCTAGCTTTTTCTGAGGTGCACTCTTCAATGTTTGCATATTACCCCGGTGTTGTGGATTCACTTCAATAAATCCAGAGGTGGTCCTGGGTGGGGCAAAAACTTCTTCAGATATTAGTTTCCTATTATTTGTTGGGGCAATGTCCATTCTAGTTTGATCATTCAAAGCAGACCTGCTCTTCCGATTCTCTTCCACGGTGTTAGCCAATATCTGCACAGTGTTAGCCACATCTTCTACACGAGTGCTTAGCATTTTGGCAACATTTTCCACCTGAGCACAAATCATTTTTGCCATATTTTCAACTCGATTATTCATCTGTAAATTATCTCTCTGATTTTGCTGACAAAGATTGTCTATTTTCTCCTCCATATGTATGACTGTGTTATCCAGTCTCGAGAGATTACATCCAATCTCACTTACAAGCAATTTCTGCTTATCCAGTTCTTCACTCAAAGTAGGAGAGCACTCTCCCCACTTTGGGGTATCCCTTCCCGGTGTCATTCTTGCGGATGTTTTGGGGAACTTCTTCCTAGATCCCAACTGTAGGGTGGGTGAATTCCAGGGGTCAGACGCCCTCTCCATCCCATTTTCTTGAACGGTATCCATGAATGGGTTTGATTCCAATTTTTCTTTTCCATGCCAATTGATCAAATTCCTGTTCACTAAAGGGAAATCCTGCGTCCCTATTTCCTCCATAGGATCCTTCCACGGTTTACCACCCGTGGTCCAATTATCTCCTGTCCAATATCCAGTGCTAAATCCACTGGCTTGTGCAGTGGGCACTTTACTTTGCTCTCCTCTGTCCCCCATTGAGACAGATGTTTGGGCACTTATCGTCCCTATAGAGCCGGTTTGTCTGACTGTCTGTCTCACAAGAGCATCTATAGGCTCGAAAAAGGGGTTTAATGCTTCTCGCTTCCTACTTTCTACTTGCTCTTGTCTTATTCCTTGGTTACTAAAATCCGAGGTATCCTTCTCCCCATCCTGTGTGGGGGATCGTCTTTGTTCGACAGGCAAAGTTGGATCACCTGCCAAAGGGTTTTTTATATCCTCGTTGTCATTCTTGAAGAAGACCCAGGTTTTCTTTTGTTCCTTTGTTTGATCCATACTCTCAATATCTGACATTTTATCAGATATTTCCACCTGCAAATTTACATGCAATTTCCAAGATGTGCGTCCCTATTATAAATCCTTATCCTTGCTTCCACAAGAGCAACTGAAGCAATCCCACTTCTGACACCAATGTAACGTTTTTCCCGAAGGTCAGGAATGCGGGGAAAATTCGGGGAAGGTGGACTCTCCCGCGCGTCACTTAATTGCGGGATTATACGGAGCGGCGTTGACTCCGCTCACTACAGTCGCCTGAGATGTTACTCCAAGGGAATGTAAGGGAAAAGAAAGTATTACGCAATCTGGGGTTTGCACTACACAAGTTCCCTCCGGAACTCAATACAATACAACAATGAACATTCAAGTACAGAATAAAAATAAAGTTATATATTTGCCCTTTATGAGCCAAACAATGCTTTAGAAACAATAGAAAATTATGTACAAAGTCGAGCTCAAACTACCCTAAACTATATAATCACTAATAATGCCTTAAGACAGAAAAACATGTGATGTCACTTGAATGTCTTTAAAGTTACTATAAGAAAGTAAGATCAAAGGAGGATATCACTTTGATAAGTTCCAGCAAAAGATAAAGGTTGATATCACTTGAATGTCTCTAAAGTCGCCACATAAAATAATCATGAACTCATATTAAACAATCACTATAACATTAGATGTCTTTGTTTGTGTCTTCTTCAGCAATTGTGGGATGCAGCTCTTTGTATTCCATTGTCTGTCCTGAAATAAAATGGCGCTCCTGGCCACGGGACCCCGTCTACTTATCAAGTTTATTAATGTACAACCTGGTGCAAATATTCTTAAAATCCGGAATCCAAGTTGCAATCGGGTGCAACGATCCTACTCAATGGGTGCAAAAGCCCTTATATCTCTTGATCATAGGTGCAATGTTTCTGTGTGCCCCTGTTCCTAACCAGGGTGCAACTCCTCTATATGCCCTTGTTCTTTAATCAAGGTGCATCTTGCCCCTGTTCCTTAACCAGTGTGCAAGTCCTTTATGTGCCCTTGTTCCTTAACCAAGGTGCACCTTGCCCCTGTCCCTTAACCAGGGTGCAAGTCCTTTATATGCCCTTATTAAACTTTGCACCTATGTCCAGTTTGCAATTCCCTTATATGCCCTTGTTCCTAACCAAGGTGCATCTTGCCCCTGTTCCTTAACCAGGGTGCAAGTCCTCTATTATCCATTATCCAAGTTGCAATCAGGTGCAAACGTCCTTAAAGCCTTTATCCAAGTTATAATCACGTGCAAATGTCCTTAAATCCTTTATCCAAGTTGTAATCAGGTGCAAATGTGCTTAAATCCTTAATCCGAGGTGCAACCAGGTGCAAATGTCCTTATGGGGTGCAACCTGGTGCAAATGTCCATAAATCCTTAATCCGAGGTGCAACCGGGTGCAAATGTCCTTATGGGGTGCAACCTGGTGCAAGTATCCTTAAAATCCTATATCCGAGGTGCAACCGGGTGCAAATATCCACTATGGGTGCAATCGTGCGCAAATATACGCTATAGGTGCAACCGGGTGCAAATATACGCTATGGGTGCAACCAGGTGCAAATATACGATATAGGTGCAACCTGGTGCAAGTATCCTTAAATCCTTAATCCGAGGTGCAACCGGGTGCAAATATTCCTTGCACCAATATGGGGTTGCAAGTTAGGTGCAACTCTCCCAAATGTACTTTAGGTGGTTATAATGGGTGCAAATATCCATTGCACCTATATGGGGTTGCAAATTGGTTGCAACTCTCCCAAATATCCTTCACACCTATTCAAGGTGGTTGATATGGGTGCAAATATCCCTTGCACCAATATGGGGTTGCAAGTAAGGTGCAACTCTCCCAAATGTCCTTCACACCTATTCCAGATGGTTATAATGGGTGCAAATATCCCTTGCACCTATATGGTGCTGCAAATTGGGTGCAACTCTCCCAAATATCCTTTACACCTATTCAAGGTGGTTGATATGGGTGCAAATGTTCCTTGCACCGATATGGGGTTGCAAAGTTGGGTGCAACTCTCCCAAGTCCTTTAGGTGGTTATTATGGGTGCAAATATTCCTTGCACCGATATGGGGTATGCAAAGTTAATTGCAACTCTCCCAAATGTCCTTCCGTTGATTATTGTGGGTGCAAATATCCCTTGCACCGATATGGGGTTGCAAAGTTGGTTGCAACTCTCCCAAATGGTTTTAATGGGTGCAAATATTCCTCGCACCGGTATGGGGTTGCAAATTGGGTGCAACTCTCCCAAGTCCTTCAGGTGGTTATTATAGGTGCAAATATCCCTTGCACCTATATGTGGTTGCAAAGTTGGTTGCAACTCTCCCAAATGTCCTTCCGTTGATTATTGTGGGTGCAAATATCCCTTGCACCGATATATTGGGTTGCAAATATTCCTTGCACCGATATGGGGTGGCAAATTGGGTGCAACTCCCCCAAATGTACTTCACACCTATTCAAGGTGGTTGATATGGGTGCAAATGTTCCTTGCACCGATATGGGGTTGCAAGTTGGGTGCAACTCTCTCAAAAGTCCTGGGGTTGCAAGATTGAGTGCAACTCTCCCAAAAGTTCTAGGGTTGCAAGATTGAGTGCAACTCTCCCAAATGTACTTTAAGGGTGCAAATATTCCTTGCACCGATATGGGGTTGCAAAGTTGGTTGCAACTCTCCCAAATAACAATATAATGTTGAGTAAAAATAATGAACAAAAATACACACCAATCTCGGCAAATATAGTACACGCAATCTCGGCAAATATAGTAATAGATACAATCCGATATGAATCTCTAAAACAATGTTCAAAATGTCCAGGCTAAAAAATGGACAAACTGTGATGATATTTGATCGAAAATCCTTCGTCAATTACTCAACAAAATATTCTTACTTACGACCCCGTGGTTGTTCCAGTCTGTAAATCCGTCAATTATTTGTCGCACAACAACTTGACAAACTGGTCAAATTCCTTTTATATGCCCCGCGCGGACGTTTTGGACTGCATAAATCTGATTGGTTAATACCGCCAAAAACTAGGTTAGTATGCCGATGAGGTACCTCAATGGGCGATAATATGAAATTTCCGTGGATGATCATGTCACTAAAATGCTAAAAACGTGATCAATTAACTCGAAAATGATTAAAAATCAAAGTTCCTATGAAAGATTATACGCCAATAATTGATCCGCCACTCGCCTAAACTCACCAGTTCCACTAAAATTCCTGTAAAATGGCTTCGTTTTCCGATTTCAAAAGAATGATTTCATTAACTTCCTTATTTCCGGAATTTCTTATCAAAACCGGTAATGGTGAAACGAAAATACAAAAATCAATTTTCATCACAATATTTTGGTCGCTTCGTCTTGGCACTTGTGAGAAAAAATTTCTGAATGGTCTTTCTACACAGAGCAGTTGATCTCCGATGTGATCGAGCGTTAACAGCCGCTGCCTCTTGTCGGATCGACTAACAAAATAACCTAGTTTTGGAAGTGTCGAGTTGGCCGAGCTATGCGTATGGGTGTCGAGACGCGTATGCTCCTTGTGTTTAATATATTGCAGGGGCGGATCTGGGAAGCAACAAGGGGGGGGCCCAAAGTTCAGGTCAGAGAAAAAATCGTCCGCGCTTGCGCGGGAAAAAATTTTGGGCCCCTAAAACCCAAAAGTGGGCCCAAATTTTGAAATTTTGAGGCCAATTTTCTTCAAAATTTGGCCTGAAATTAAAAAATAAGGCCTCAAAAGGCCCAATTATGACCAAAAAGGCCCACTTTTTGGGGCCTTAAGGCCTTTTTTGGCCCAAAATTTTTTTGGGGCCCAATTTTTTTTTCTGGGCCCACCCAAGGGGGGGGGGGGGGGCCGGGCCCCCAGGCCAATTGGATCAAATCGTTCTTTATATTAAATTAAGCATTTCATTATTTTCTACTGTGCATATGGAAACGGTATCTTTATATAGATCAAGAACTATCAAAATGTCAGATACCCCTCCAATTACACTGATAATCTAAAACCATTTATACTCCACTCCCCTACATAAGTTTGGCAACCTTAGCTCCCCACCGAACTTCGTACGTTTGATTTTCAATGAGGGAGCTAACGTTGCCAAACTTATGGAGGGGAGTGTATTTGTCACAATTTATTTCTCAGAACTTCTAATTTGTATATTGCCCAAAACAGGAAAGGTCTACAGAAATATTTAGAGTCCATTGTTTGATATGTCTAGTTCCTTTAATAGAGGAACTGATAGATCTACACTACCTTGCTACGCTCACTCGTCCAGAAATTGATATCAACTCGTGGACAAAATTGATATCACTCAAAATCATACGATATCCTATACATATTTTTAATGTTTATTACCAGTAGGTCGCTACGGTTTCTGCGCACCCCTTTGGGGTTTGCTTCGGCGCTTAACATGTCAACGTTATGCCTCCAGTTAATTTTGATACTTTCCCAATTAGCCTTTTTATTTAGATAGCTCTTGCAATTCAAAGTCAATATATGAGGGATAGAAAAGATATAACAAAACCGTTAAAATCTTAAATGTTACTTTTACTAAAAACTTAAATGTTACTTTTTGCGCAGTACCGTATCCGACTATGTTACCTTTATGCAACATATTGACGGGTCCAAATGTTCACCTAGCCGACCATATTTGCCTCACTGACAATTTTCCGCCTCATTGCCTCGTTGATAGACGCAATTTGCCTCACATAGCCTCCCTTTAGGAAATCCCACTCTAACAGTGTATCTTATGTTAATAGACTGTTATTCATAACCTTGATGGTTTGGTGAACTAAATTCAACATTTTTATCTAAAAAATCTATTAATACACATCCTAGAAATACCACAATTTTATTTCAGAAATATTTATTTATTTCTATGTCATAGTTTAAGCTAACCAGCCAGACATTTTATTTGTTCTTTTCTTCCAATTCCTTTGTATTGAATGCAACATTTATAAACCCAATTCATCATCCCACACTTATGTTCGCAAAACCAAATAATACAGTATCAGTTGAGGCTGTTACCATTCAAAAGATGACCATTGTAATGACGATATGTAATTGATTCGGATTCTTTTGATAACTTTTAAGAGAAATAAATGTTCAAGGTTAACATTCTCAGGTCATGTCATAATAGTCCATTTGTCACCCCTATACATCCAAAAGTGAACCTAGAAATTGTTAAAAGTACGATGTTTTCTGAAAATTTTTAGCGTTTGGATACCACCATATACCTGGTATGTTACCATGGTAATAGATACAAAAATTTTCCCCAAAGTTATTTTTTGGCAACCCAGCTAAATCACTCCAATAATCCCTAATGATAGTATTTACACAGAAAAACATCATACTTTTAAATATTTATACGTTCAGAAAATGGCAAATGGACTATAAGGTATCCGTTCTTGATGGGCTATATACCCGACGCCCAAGGATGCATCCTCTAGATTTTTTGTTTCTTCAAAATCCTTGATGTATTGTTTCTTTTCACGTAGAAATAAACATGGCATTTGTTTATTATGTTTAAAATGTTTACGTCAAAAAGACTTATAACACTTGAATTTAAGTAAAAAGGGGAACCCCAGCGGCAAAATTGTAAGCCACACTGTTATACAATTTCGGATATAGCTTTTCCAATGCGCAGTGGAAAGTTGCCTATCCTAACATGTAGTTTTATCATTCATTTTGACATACTTTTTCAACAGCGACACATTTAATATATTTGCCGCAATTCATGTGTATGATTCTATAAACAAATTACACGATGAAGTTATACTTTATTGTCTCGCTATTGCTTTAATTTGAAATGGCACAGGGTGGAGTATTATTCCGAGAGGAAAGTCACGTGGATCAGGTGACGGGCTTTGAGAGTCATCTGGTGGACAGATCGTGAATTTCTGCAACAATGTAGCACAGAACAGGAATAATCTGGTTCTTGCAAACTGTTCCCCGACACAAACACGTCTACCAGCTCCAAATGATATAGCTCTAAAATGAATTGACATATTCATATATTCTACGCTTATCGTAAACCAATGGTATAGCATGCATGCATTCCTGCTCATGTTAGCGGCTTTCATTTTATAAGTAGATTAATTTGAGCTGAAATCGAGAACACGAGGCAAGTAATTACAGGGTGTCCAAAAAATTACCCAGTGTTCCTCAATCGGAAAAAGTTTATATTTTTACATGACAAATGTTTAACCAATTAGCAGTAATTAATTTGGTCTAATCATATACTTGCAGAGAAATTTGATATTTAAGACGACATGCCTTAAATTACAAGTTTCTTCTCTGAAACTACATAAAGTCATTAGAAGAAAGTCTTCATAATAATTAACTTGTCTTTCAGATGAATGAATGAATGTTCAAATTTGATGATTTTCCTAATTTTAATTTTCCAGATGACAAGAATTTTCCCATTGGACAACATTATGAAGATAATACTAATATTCCCGACATTTAATTTTCCGAAGCTGACAAAAATAGACAATAGACAAATCAAATGATTAGACAAAATCACCAATTGTACAGTATTGCCCCATCACTCATAATTATTCCGTATTTGTCTCGGTACAACATTAAACTATGTGCGATCGTATTAATAAATGTTTTTGCCTTTTCATGAATATTTCTTCAACATTCAAATAGTTATTCCTTTTTTATTTTGGAACACCATGTAGAATATGTAATCATTTACTTGTTTCGTTCCTCTAAAGATACCAATTTGCAATCATTATCGAACCAGCGTTCAGGTTTAAATTTCCAAGGATCGGGAAACAGTAAGGGATCGTGGTGCATCGCAAATATGTTCGTCCAAACCTTTAAAATAAGTATTTCTTTTTTTAACAGCTTACATGATTCTGTTTTTACCATACTTTGCGTTAAATGTTATATTTTGGGCTTTTATGCCATTAATCAATAAGAAGATATAAATTGATGGAATATGGAACATTGTTATAGAAAACGAAGCATGAAAACCTAAAAACAGTTTTGAATAACGTTTCAATATAATGTGTCATACCTACTTAACTGAAAAACATGAAAAATACTATTTTTCTTTCACTTCCGGAGAAATAACATCCCCTCAATTAACCAGCTGTTCAACCGACACTGAAATCAAAATCTTGCAAAATTGGTGGCATACACTGAAAACATACCTGTACTCCATTTGGAATATCGTATCCTGCAACGCTTGTGTGTACCAATGTTTTATGAGGGACAGCAATCGGCGAATGCGACAAATAACGTAACACTTCGATAAGCGTCGCTTGAAGGTACGGCATGTTTTCTTTATCGTCAACACTCGGATTCCGGTCTTTACCGACTACTTGGTCTACCTCTTCTTGAAGTTTTGCCTGTATATCTGGATGCCTCATCAGTAGAAGAAACAATCCAGAGATGGTGGCTTTAGTCGTGGAAAATCCCGCACCAACGAGATCGCCTGACACCTTAATGATGTTAGAATCTGATATTTGGTGTGGTGTTAAGGGGTCTCTATGAGCTTTTATCAACACACCCATGACGCTGTTGTTGGAATCAAGCAATTTCTACAAATAAAAAGAAATGTTTACTTAACCTTCAATTTATCGAGAGTTAATCACATGTAATGTATGGAAATGATGTATTACAAGTATTGTATGGTGGTGAGTGTTGTAAAATTTAGTTAAGCGTGTAATCCTCTTAACTAAGTCTTATACAGGTATGATTAAATGATAACGGATACATTGTCATTATTGTTATTACCATTTATTTGCTTGTACTTAAACGGACTAGTTTTTAACATACATCTTGTCTCTGAGTCTCGATAAAGTTCACCAGATAGTTTGCTTCATAGGACCTAACTACGGGTATACTATGCACATGTCCTTTATGTCATTTATGCCCGAGTCACATCTGCTCCGATTTATCGGCCGGCGCCCGGGCGATTGAATGATTTTCTGGATCCAATTTTAAACAAAATACTCAATCGGCCGCGCGCCGGCCGCGGCCTATACATAGGAGCAAATGTGACTTCCGGTATTAACCGATTGATTATATGAAGCCATTTTCAAAAAATATTCGTTTCATCAGCAAACATAACCAGCTTTATCATTCTAAAACATTTAATGTTTAAATTATATATGAATTGAATCCAGTCCCAAAAAGACCCCCGGGGGACGCCATAACACAAAATATTTTTCATCAGAGTATGAACCTAAAATTGACATTTTCTTTCAATTTTTAAGTAACTTTTAAACCAATTCAACACAACTCAACAAAACATCAAATATCACGTAATCTATGTCTTATACCTCACATTCATTTCGCAGTCCCTCCATTATAGTATCCCGTAATGCACACGTCTCCATCAGTACTTTATAATTTTGATTTCCGAAAAATCGTAGCCATGGAAACATATCTAGTTCCACCCCATTGCCTGCTGACAATACTCTAACACCTTTCGTTGCCATCTCGGTATTTAGTTTAATATAAGGATGATCGTCTGATAACTGAACTCCACATATCTAATAATGCATGCAGAGCAATGTAAAGATTGATGACATGTGACGTCAGAGTGCATAATTACAAGCCTGATACATGCACGATGATAGTAAAATGGAGACCATTTGAATGTTATGTTTGAATCCATGATATCAGTTAATGGCCTACATTTTTATAAAGATTAATGTCATCATGTTGTGGGAGCAATAACATATTTGAATCTATGATATTTAAACTCAACTAACTTCTTATAACCGATGTTTTAACAGAGCTATTTTGCAATTTACATGATGAGAAATATATAAGCACTAGCGCCAAAGGGAAAGGATCAAAAGTTGTAATGGAACTTAGCAAGAAAAAGCAAACCCTAAGTGTATACAAGTCAAGAAAAACAAAACCAACATAGCCCAAAAACCATGATCTAACGTCAAAAGAAACAATGTCTAATATCCCCTTTCCCCCACCATTCAAGACCCAATATCACAATCCAAGACCAAAAGACCAAGGGACATTTCATTCATACTGAAGTCATTACAATACATGTTTAAGAAAAAATTGATAACCAATACTCATAATCTCAAAAATAGTTGTAGATACAATACTCATACAAGATAGAGCATTCAGTCTCAAATGTGGGATAGATAAATTCCAGTCTCCAAGTCCATATAGGCCAACATCCATTCACAAAAGCCGTCGCCATAATCCATAAAACAATAATTCACAATGACTTAAATATAGACGTGCTGCAAAGTTGTCAATATTACTGTAATGAGTCTATAAAGGCCTCCCTAAGATTACCTCGTTTCTATGCTTTGATAGTAACATACTCTTGACAATTGTTAAAAACATAAAACAATACTTACCACTTCTGAAAGAATTTTCATGAGCATTGTGTCAACAGCACCGTCATAGATAAACGACTCGTCGTTTTTGGCGGCAAATTTATCCATACACAGCTTAATTTCACTTTGGGTGATGTTTACGATATTCGACCGTTCCTCGCCGTACATCTTTAGACCCCGAAGCATGAGTTTCTTCATGTATCTAATTTTACCCGTGTAGTCTTGAAATATAACATCATCGCCTCCTTGTAATGTTTTGACTCTAAATGTGTCATTCGGTCTTCCTAAAAACATAGTCGAATTTCATATATCATGGTTGATCAAAACATTTTTGTATTGCTCATAATGAATATTTTCTCCGATATTTCCAGATGAACTCCAATTCTATTATCCGCCTAAACGTTCCAAAAGTTCCAAAAGTTCGTAAATGTTTGTACGGAGGATTTCACATAAATTCACAAATAGTTGCAGTTGTATTCATGGTAATTTAATATACAGGGTGGTCCAAAAAAAAGTGAACCCCTGCAACTGGCCATATTTCCCTTATTACTTGCAGGAATTATTTTTTATTTTCACATGTTGTGGAGGAAGGTCTAAAATTTATGTTGGTACCATACATTTTTCTAAGTCTTGAAATTTACAAAAATTATAAGCCCTAACCAAACATTACTGAAAATGGACAAATTGGGATTTTCAATATCCGCGATTCTTCAACCCTTTAACACCTTTCCCCTGAGAGTATTTTAAGTTGCAGTCTTAAAAAACTAATATTTTCTGACTTTGTTCAATTTTAAATCTTGCACATTATGGCTTAAAACTAGCATCCTACATTTGTTAGTTGCAAAGTTATTGTGATCCAAAGAGATGTGCTAAGCTTCCAAACACGAAAACATTTTCAAGTGAAATCATGAACATACCCCTATATGATCTTGAAATGTCAATATCTTCGTAAATCATGGACCAATTCTAATGATATATGGCTCAAAATAATGAATATTGGATTTTCTTTTGATTTTTAAAGATATTTGATGAAGGGGTTATCAGATTCCTGGTCGCAGGGGGCAACTTCCTTCCATAAGAGGCCCCCTCTAACTGTTGGTGTAGGTAACATACCCCTGAACTGTTGAACAGTTAAAAATGCTTCAAAATGATCAATGAAAGTGTGAAATGTGTTTTCTGCTTGAATAGAGTCCCTGTTGTCATATGGTAGGGTTTTAGATTGTATCTCTAACTGAAAGCTGTTGAAGATCATCCAATGTGTTTCAACAATTTCCATGAATCACATTTGTAAAATTTTGTACAATATCTAATTTTCTGGCATGTTTGTTAAACGCTTGTAATTTTTTCAAAATTTAAGACTGAGAATGAATTATGGCATCAACCAAAATTTTAGACCTTTCTCTACAACATGTGATAATATGAGCCAATTCATGCATGTATTAAGAAAATTGTAGCCTGTTGCAGGGGTTCACTTTTTTTTGGACCACCCTGTACAGTAATGCAATTCCAAGTATGGAGGCATCGTGCATGGCATGTCTCTCCGACTGAATAAAGATGTAAGTCAGGTACAGGATTTTCTTATGATATAATATTATAGCATGACAGATTGTAAATAAGTTAAAAATTATTGTTCTTTGCTTTTCTTTCAATAAATTATTCGTGTACTTGCCTTGCCATATGCATTGTGTGTTTGTAAGATAAGCAAATGGAGTCAGCTCACTTGAATGCGATGCTTATAGGTAATTCAATCTTAAAGATGCAATTATGTGCGTAAATGAAATACACTTCCCTCCGAAGTGAGCTTTATAGAATAAAGGAATATTAAACAAGGTTAAATTGTGCCAAATATGACACTTCACCAATGCTGAATGATTGAGTTGGTAACATTTGCCTGAGTTACCTTTTTTGCTCACCCTGTACAATGTGGCAATTGTAGGCTTGCAAAACATCCGAGATCGGAGAATCTTGGTAAATGTATCCCGGGCATTGCATATATTACTTGTATTTTATTGAATGGTACAATTCTAATAATCTTTCATAATCCTTACCTGCGAAATCTGCTGTACAATTCTAATTTCAATCGTTCATAATACGAGGCCCGATCAGAAAGTAAGTAACCAACTGCTCTTATTTCTCCATACTTTATTCAATTAAATTGACATTTTCACAGTGGTTACTTACTTTCTGATCGGGCCTCGTATATGACTGACCTGCAAAATCTTCTGATTTTGTCACTAGAGCTTCGTAGATGGCATCGAAGCTGTTAAGTACAACAACCAAATCCCCGGCAAAATTTAACTTAAAGATTGGTCCATACTCTCCAGCCCATCTTAGTAAATCCTTGTGAATATACTCTAAATCAACCTGGAGTGCATTCCCCAAGATAGGCATTCCCTTGGGTCCTGGAATCTTTGCGATAATCCTTGATTTCTCATTCGTATATCTTTTGAAAAAAATATAAAGTAATAAAGAAAAACAGCCTAGAACAACGTACACTAACATGATGCTATGTACTTGTGTTTAATTCCATATCACATTGCTGTGTGAAAGTTATATCAAGATGCATCAAAGGTCAGACCCATCTAAGTTATCCAGGGACGCACATATTTCTTTTTATACGATCAAGGTCCCTTTGTAGCTTCCTTTAACAAGTATTATGCCTACATTATGCCTACATATTCGAGGCACACTGAGAAGAATCTTAGCCCAACATAATGTTTATTTATATATTTTACTGCGTGCCGCAGCACCCAAAACCAGGTGTTGACATCCCGTGACAATATCTGATTGACAACTGTACTTAATGTCGAGTAAATAACATTGTATTATAATTTTTTCTCTTGCTATTTGTATTTAAAATGGCAATGGATAAATTAAATAGCTCTGAAATAAATCAGCATATTCTGATATCCTCGACACATTATACTATACTATGATAACATACGTCATGACAGATCGGTGCTCTTGATAGCGAAATCTATAGTATAACATCCATCCCATAACATTTCCCTAATCTTTCACTTTCATTTTACAAAGAATTATTTAAGATAAAACCATAATATAGATATAATATTACTTTTAGCATTTGAATCCTTTCACGTGTTCATTTAGAAACGGAATTTAAAGATAACAAACGGCTAAAATATCAATTACCCCCTGGTGCCCTCGCCTCCATCAGTATTTTTATACTTTTAAACCAATCCATATAGTAACCACAAACGTTGATTTATCGTCTCGATATTGCTTTGATCTGAAATGGAACAGGATGGAGAACCAGTCCCAGGGGAAAGCCACGCGAGTCAGGTGACGGAATCTGAGAGCCATCTGGCGGACAAATCGTGAATTTCTGCATTAATTTAGCACAGAACAGGAATAATCTGGTTCTTGCAAATTGTTCCCCGACACAAATACGTCGGCCAGCTCCAAATAAAAAAGCTCTGAAATAAATAAACAACATCCGATAATCTGAAAGAATTATAATATATAAAACGTAATTTCAATTCTATGAATATATGTTAAAAGGATTAATACGCACATGGACTGCCTTGTAAAATGCACGAGTATATACACCAGATCGGTTTTATGGTACTAACTTGTTTCGTTTCTCCAAAGAGACCAAGTTGCCATCATCTTCCAACCAACGTTCTGGCTTAAACTGCCAAGGATCTGGGAACAAGACCGGATCGTGTTGCATCGCAAATAAGTTTGTCCACACCTTAGAAATAAGCATTCATTTAAATTTATTTTATCTTTTAATTTAGGAATAAAAAAGCATGTATCATTCTTTATTGGAAATATCAAAGCATGAGTGTATGCCCTAACCAATGCACATAATGCACGGAGGTGAAACCTGAGTGAATTATCAGAATGGGTTAGTACATACACGCATTTATTGCAATTCAGACATGTCTCTGGTCAATGATGAGGGAGAATAGTTCACCATTCACATCCGCATTCACATCATTGTTGTCTTTGAAAAAATTAAATTTTATATGTTTTGGACAAGTTTATTATTTAGAAATACTAAATAGGGGTATTGGGTTACATTTAATATTCGTTTGAAACCTATTGAGAAGGAAAGGTTTTGTTTGTCAAAATATTATAGGTAATGGAATAATTATTTGATGCAGAAAAATTATTTAAACTTTGTTGGAAAATCATAGCATTGACTAAATGAACACACTGCTGATATGCTGTCACCCCTTTTTAAAGAATAGAACTGCTCAGACTGTGCATTTATCAAAAATTAAATGCACAGCAAAATCATGTTCATGCATATATCAATAAATGAATACACTGGAATGCTTTACACTGATTTGCTGAGACACATTTGGCATGTTTGAATGAGGTAAAAGGACATCAATTGAAGGGCTTAAAGACTACTAGTTGTCAATTTTGGCATCAAATGACGCATAATGCTTGTAACAATAATTTGAATCAGCAAGTTTAATTGATATTTGATGTACTACAATGTAAGTAAGATGAAAAAATAATCCATTTATTTAGCAAAAATGAGGAAAAGTTCCAAAGATTTCGCAGCAGTGGTTTGTTGGGTCACTATGGTTATTGATTTCTAGCTTTTAAATGTTCAATATATTTTATCCAAGTTTAACACACACTTTTGTACATCTAGGGCATCAAACCAATCCATTACGACGCACATGTTTTTTTGGACCAGATGGTAAGAACGGACAATTTCCTTCTTTGCAGAAATAAGAAGTCGAAAATTAAAAAATAACTTATTAACTAAATAAAACCAGTGGCATAAAATTAATAAAAAAACATCGTTCACTTCCTATAAGGAGACGATTACCTTCCATTTCCTACTCAACCCTAATCCGAGGATTAAAAATAAAGTATCCCTCTAAATAATGGCGAATAGTCCCCGATCTGATTTCCAAAAAGCCGCTAGAAAAGGGGTTTTGTTGTCCGGTACTTTCCCACATAAAATGATTGTACCGTTTGAAAGAACAGACTTTCCTCTTAAAGAGAACACCTCTTCTATTGATGTAAACAGGGGCAAAAGGCACCAAAACGGGGTTAGACAAGGTGGCTTTCTGAAGTCTCACTTTCTTGTCATCACGATTCCAGGTAAACCATGAGACGGATTTACTTCAAATTTTCACACATATTACATGGTAAGAAGTTCTAGAGCTGATTAACCTTTCGGTGGCCATCTTGCATTCTGGCGGCCATCTTGGAAGTTTTTTGATAAATCTTGTCATTGTGATTCCATGAAAACCACTTTACTGATTTTCTTGAAACTTTTACACATGTTACAAGGAGGGTTACATGCTACCTTTTATATTGATATAAACAGGGGCAAAAGGCAGTAAAGTGGGGTTACACAAGGTGGTATTCTAAGGAGAATGTTATCTATTTTTCTGTATATTAAACCACATAATTTGACATAAATGCATATTTGGTGTATGATATCATATTTTATATTGATAGAAACATGGGCAAGAGGCACTACAATGGGGTAACACATTGTGATATTCTAAAATACATATTTTTACTCTGCTTCTGTACTTTATACCACTTAAATGCATTTTGCGTATGACATCGATTGATTTTTAGAATAAATAACTCCATTTCATCAAAAAGAAAAAATATTATTGAAAAGGTCAAACATTCTTTGAAATCCATTATTGCATAGCGATTTTTTGAGAGCAAAATGTATGCTAAATTGGCCTTGATCTGAGTGTATAACGGAATTAAAGCTCTTTTAAAAGAAAATGTAAATGTGTGGAAAACCTTTCACTGTGCATCATGTCAACAAAATGTTCTTCATGCAGTTGAATTATCTTCTGGACAGGTGATCACACAGAAGGAGAGACCTGCGTATCATATCCTTATTAAATATAAACAAAAATGACAAATGAGAAAGGAAAAAAGTGTAAAGCAACCTAGTGGAAAAACAAACTGTAAAGTGTAAAACTGGCAAACAAAAATCAAACCTGAATATCCCAAGACAATAATCTAATATGGGAATAAACAGCATCCACACCGTTCAATGACCAATTCCTCATCAACAACCACAATTCCTAGGGACATTCCCTTCATACTGAAGTCATTAAAATACATGTTGAAGAAAAATTGAAAATAATGATATCCAATACTCATAAGATCAAAAATAGTTGTAGATAGTATAGTACTCATAAAAGCTGCAGATAACGTTTCTTCATCGGGAAAGCAAGCATGTCAAACTATGTGAATTGGCTCTGTATCCACAATTTTGCAAGTTGGAGACACATGTGCTCTTTGCGTTTAATAATCAACAAAAATCACTTTAACCTGCACTAAAACTGTGTGTCAGATCGATATAAGTATAGGGTTTGGAAACTAACTGTACCAACAAAAATAACTTAAAAAACACTGCTACAATATCAACATAAGCTTTCAATAGTAGTGACGATGCAGAAACATGCAAAATGTCACCACACCTTGTTAAGTATACAGTACACATTAACTACCGAACAGTTTCAAGATAAACGTTCGAAGCTAATACAATATGTCACCCAATCACTAGTGGTGGTGACATAAAAATAATAAATCCTGATCTTCAACGTTTGGTGTAATGGTGTCATCAACTGGTTCAAATTCATTGTCGCTTTCATCAACATCATCGTGCAGATTGGTTGGACAGTTCTCACACACATCTTTGCGGCACTTACATGAACTTCCACAAATGAGATCCTGTTTCTTACAACTACATCTCATTGAGTCACACGCTCCTTTACAACTACAAGCAACAAGCTCCATTATTTCTTGTGGGGCAGGACCGTTTTCCATCCACTTAATTTGTAGTTTATTCCCTTTGAATGTCCAACCATGTAATGTGGGGGATTGATAACCAATCATTGATTTGCCTGCGTTTCGCCATGTTACATGTGTGAAAATTTGTAGCAAATCTTAAGTTAAGTGGTTTTTCTGGAATCGCGATGACACGATTTATCTAGAAACTTCCAAGATGGTCGCCAGAATGCGAGATGGCTACCAGAAAGTTAACAAGCTCTATAACTTCTTACCATGTAACATGTGTAAAAATTTGAAGTAAAACTGTTGAGTGGTTTTCCTGGAATCGCGATTACAAGATTTATCTAAAAACTTCCAAGATAGCCGCCAGAATGCAAGATGGCCACTGAAAAGTTGATCAGCTGTAGTACTTCTTACCATGTAACATGTGTGAAAATTTGAAGCAAATCTGTAAAGTGGTTTTTCTGGAATCGTGATGACAAGATTTATCTACAAACTTCCAAGATGGCCGCCAGAATGCAAAATGGCTATCGGAAAGTAATCAGCTCTATAACTTCTTACCATGTATAACATGTGTGAAAATTTGAAGTAGAACTGTTACATGGTTTTCATGGAATCGTGATGAGAAGATTTATCTAAAAACTTCCAAGATGGCCGATGGAATGCAACATGGCCACCGAAAAGTTAGTCAGCTCTAGAACTTCATACCATGTAACATGTGTGAAAATTCGAAGTAAAACTGTGAAGTGGTTTTTCTGGAATCGTGATTACAAGATTTATCTATAAACCTTCCAAAATGGCCGCCAGAATGCAAGATGGCCACTGAAAAGTTAATCAGCTCTTAAGAACTTCATACCATGTAAAATGTGTGAAAATTTGAAATTAATCTGTTAGGTTGTTTTCCTGGAATCACGATGACAAGATTTATCCCAAAATTTCCAAGATGGCCGCCAGAATGCAAGATAGCTGCCGAAAAGTTATTCACCTCTATATTTTCTTACCATGTAACATGTGTGGAAATTTGAAGTAAATCCGTTTGGATTTCCTGAAATCGTGATGACAAGATTTATCTTAAAACTTCCAAGATGGCTGCAAGAATGCAAGATGGCCACCGAAAAAATAATGAGGTCTAGGACTTTTTACCATGTAACATGTGTGAACATTTGAAGTACATCTGTTATGTGTTTTTGTGGAATCGAGATGACAATATTTATCTGAAAAAAAATCCAAGATAGCTACCAGAATGCAAAATGGCTGCCGCAAAGTTAATCAGCTCTAGAACTTCTTACCATGTAACATGTGTAAAAAATTGAAGTAAATCCGTCTGATGGTTTACCTGGAATCGTGATGACAAGAAAGTGAGACTTCAGTATGCCACCTTGTCTAACCCCGTTTTGGAGCCTTTTGCCCCTGTTTACATCAATAGAAGAGGTGTTTTCTTTAAGAGGGAAATCTGTTCTTTCAAACGGTACAATCATTTTATGTGGGAAAGTACCGGACAACAAAACTTTTTTTCAGAGGGTCCAGATCAGGGACTAGAAGTTTAAATGGTGCTATGCAGTGAATATGCAGATATTCTACCTGTATACCCTTTGGGATAGCGTATCCTTCAATGCTTGTGTCCACTAAGGTTTTATGAGGAATAGAGATTGGTCCGGGCGTCAAATACCGTAATACTTCAATAAGCGTCGCTTGAAGGTACGGCATGTTTTCTTTATCGTCAATACTCGGATCCCGGTCTTTGCCAACTACTTGATCAACCTCTTTTTGAAGTTTTGCCTGTATATCTGGATGATTCATCAGTTGAAGAAAAAACGCAGAGATTGTAGCTTAAGTCGTGGTAAATCCTGCCCCGATGATATTACCCGACGCCTTCGTGATGTTAGAATCTGATATTTGGTGCGATGATAAGGGGTCTCTTTGGGCTTTTATAAACACTCCCATGATGCTGTTGTTGGATTCAAGCGATGTCTACAAAGTTTTCAATTAAAGTGAAGAATTATGGTGAGTTTAAAATCACGAATCGGATATGAAAGGGCAATATATGATGAAGAAAGTAATCTTACATTGCAAAATGAAAATCAGTGCTCTACAGGGTGACACAAAAAATGACACCACCTTGCGGTGCATAACTTCTTAGTCTAGTAACATACATACTTGTTTAGCACATTAAAAGAAGACACTATGCCAAAGCATTTTGACTTTCAGATATGTAGTTCAAGTGGGTCAATTTTTGAGCGTAATTTGCTCGAAATGTCGTTCATTCCTTTGCAGACACACATGGATTCTACACAAAAAATGCCATCCAGCTTTTGCAACAGAACTTTGTAAATACTAATGATTTTAGCTTGTGCGTTCAGGGAAATTAACTCCATTCAATTAAACTAAAAATTATCGAGTTTTCCTTGATAAAATCATGATAATTTGTTTCCAAGATTATGTTACTAAGAGTGTGTGTCATTTTTAATGTAAGATCCAGTTTTGCCAGCAAAGGAATAGACGAAACATTTGTAACGCTCATATATGATTTTCTAGCTAAGCTAGTCATCTGAAACTTCTTGTGGAGTTGCAAAATCGAGCGTAGTTGTAATGTGCGAAAAAACAAGTCAACAATTATCAGACAAAAAGTCATGAAACACTAGGTAGGTGGGTTTCATTTTTGCTGTGTCACGCGGTAGATAAAAAAAATGCAAAATCAGGTGCTTTATTAGAAACAATATTGTAAAATGACAAATCAGTGCTCTTATAGATAAATACATTATATAAATGCAAGAGCAGTGCTCTGGTAGATAAATATTTGCAAGAATACAATCGGTGCTCCTATAGATTAATACATCGTACAAATTCAAATGCAATGCGCTTTACATTGTAAAGATGCAATGTATATTGAGAAATTTGATGTATGGTAAAATGGTGCAACAAATGATGATCTGTGGTATGTAGGATACTTTATGCAATGCATGATTAAAATGTTACGCTTTTTTAGCAAGAACTGTGATATATAATTCTTAACATCTAATATAACTGCAGCACTGGTGATCCACTCGATTACGCTGGTTACCAAAACGAACCGTTTTGGTAACAAAATGTCGGAACGTCGAAGGCACGATTTTTCTTTTTTCCTTATTTCACGCGTTGTAGGCAGAATCCCCACGACGTTTTTTCTCACAACGTGCATCAGTATCATATGTTTTAGAAAATGTACATGTTTACGAAAAAATAGCTCAGGGGATAACAGAAGCGTCGATTTACTTCCTCACTTAAGTTACATAAACGGTTTTTCGAAAAACAGTGAAGATCTGCACTTTTAACCCAAACCGTTTATGTAACTTAAGTGAGGAAGTAAATCGACGATTCTGTTGTCTTCTGAACTATTTGTTCGCAAATATGTACAATTTCTTAAACATGTGATACTGATACTAAAAAATGTCGTGGGGATTCTGCCTACAACGTGTAAAATAAGGAAACGAGAAAAATCGTACCTTCCGGATGTTCCGACATTTTGTTACCAAAACGAACCGTTTTGGTAACCAGCGTAATCGAGTGGATCACCAGTGTGCAGGTGAATAGGCAAAAATGACATGTAATATAGAGTGTATAGTGTAATGCAAATTGGATAATGTCATATAAAAAAGTAAAATATTACATTCGGTAAGTAATTCAATTAATGCTAACGAATTTACGAATAAAAAGGAATGTGAGTAATGCATATTAAATATTGTAAATTATTCGATGCGCGCAATAAAGGATGTAAAGTAAGGTAACTTATTTTGTTTGGTTTAATTTATAGTGAAAATAGAACGTGAGATAAGTTTGGTCATGTAACTACCGTTTAGAAAATCCAAAGTGTAAAGTAAAATATAATGAAAATGTAAATACCAATTACTAAGAATCATGCATGCAGTCGTAGGTAGAGCAATTTACAAAAGTTATACAATGTAACTTTTTATATATCAGGTATTGTAACGACCCTTGATAGCAAGTCAAGTTTCTACTACAATCCAGCTGTAGTGACTAAAGCTTTTATAGCTCGGTTGGTAGAGCACCATGGAGTCTTTGGATCCAAGGGGCATCGGATTTAGCACACTTTATTTCAATTTCTTTATCTGGCTTATTACACTACGCTCGTTAGTTAGTCATTTCCCTAGGGCGCCCTCGGGCCATAACATTGGTGTCAGATGTGGGATCAAAGCATTGGTTGACTCTTGATAACAAGTTGCTTCTACAATCCAGCTGCAGTGGCTTAAGTCTTTATAGCTCAGATGGTAGAGCAACAGTCTTTGAATCCAAGGGTCCTAGGTTCAGTTCCCACACGGGCCATTGAATTTAGCACACTTTCTTTCAATTTCTTTATCTATCAAAATCTCTTTTAACTTACCTCACAGTCTTGCCGCATTCCTGTAATTATAGTATCTCTCAATCTATACGATTCCATCATTAGTTTATAATTTTGATTTCCAAAAAATCGTAACCATGGAAACATGTCTAGCTCTAAACCATTGCCTGCTGACAGTACTTTTACACCTGACTCTGTCATCTCAGCACCAAGTTTCATATAAGGATGCTCGTCTGTAAACTGCATTCCGCCTATCTAATAATACATGCATAGCAATACAGAATAGCAAGATCCATGTAATGTGATATTTTAAGTATAATTGATGACAGCTTTATCAAATATTTTTTTTGTTTTTTTAATGTTTATATTTTGAACATTACCCAATATTATCATTGAAAGATCATAACATCCATTTACTTTCGTCCTATTCACTGCTAACTAGCTGTTCATTAAATGGTTTACTCAAACTTTTTTCTTGTTTCCCTGCTTTAATAGTAACATACTGTATAATCGGTTGAAAAAACACGTGGCAATACTTACCACTTCTGCAAGACTCTTCAAGATCATCATATCTACAGCGTCGTCATAATTGAACGGCTTATCACCTTTGGCGGCAAATTTGTCTATACACAAGTTTATTTCACTTTGGGTGATCTTGATTAAATTCGAACGTTCCTCACCGAACATCTTGAGGCCCTGGAGCATGAGTTTCTTCATGTATCTCACTTTATCCGTATAGTCTTGAAATATGACATCGTCGTCTTCAAATAATCTTTTAATTCTGAAGGTGTCATTTGGTCGACCTAAAAATATCATGGTCAAATTGCATATACAAGAATTGATCCAAAAGCAGTTAAAATGCGCATCAGTCACTTCCTGTGATATTTTTTCTTGTCCCTACAGTTTAAACAAGGAATTAACATGAAAAATGTCACCACCTGCAATTTGTTTGGCCGACCACGTAAAAATGATAAGACTTGTCTAAAAACCTAAAAATGAAGAAATACATAAAGATTTCCGATATGCCCGTCTTTATCTGTGATAATAACTATCAATCACAAAATAATTATTACTTTACATTATACATAATAGCATTTCTGAGACATTTATTACAATTTACACGATATTCCAATTATATATTCGATCCTTTAATGAAAAATCACACTGTTGTCACAGTTTTTTTCTTAACAAAAAGAATAATGCGTATGCTATAACATTACTACTTTGTCTAGATGTGAGTAAAATCATGGAAAGATAAATTATAAGAAGAAATAAAGTCATATTATAGAAATTGTAAAAAGTCTACAATTTCAAAACGCATGCCACGAGGTAACGCGTCTCATTGTTTGCTCAAAGAAAAAAGAAAGAGCACCACTTGATTTGAACATACATGCACCGAAATGTTTGAACTTAATACTCCTAAATTGTAATGACTTTTGGTCAATATTTGCACTTTTATTGAAATATCATATATGTGAGTGTCACATTCTTGTTTGCCAACCCTGTATATTACAAAAACCCAAGCAAACAGATGTGTTGCAATGATATGGACAACACTCAATCCCATGTTTTTGATAAAATCTTAAGACTCGACCCACATATTGATAAAACACACATATACGACATTCCCCATTACAGGTATTTTTACACTGCTTACCATTTTAGATATGGTCAATAACCCCATAACTGCATCACATGCATCTTCAGATGAAAGAGAATATTCCTTACAACATCGTATGCATTTAAAATAATGGGCAATACAACCCTTAACTGCATAGTCAGCATGCAGTATTCAAACTAGGGAAATACGAGTTCAAAGAATTATTGTATTTAAGAAGAGTACTAACGATAGGGGTTTCAAAAGGGCTCGTAAAATGAAAGTATTCATATCACTGGAATGGGTAAAACAGACACAAAAATTATGTTTTATTCTGAATTTGAATGTCACTTGAATAAACTCACTGAACGGGACTTGTTTATTCATTTATACATTTTATTCATGTTTAAAGAAATGTGTACATACAGGATTTAACGATGCCATGAAAAATACATTTAGAATTGAAAATGGTCTGGAGTACTTGCGTTTAACTTTAAACCTTTCTTATTTCGGATCACTCTAAGATTTTTTACGTATTGTTCCAGAAGAAGTAATTGCGACAAGTGTATATATGACCAAGGGGAGCTGGCACTTAAATAGGAAAGACAAAAGGATTAATTCGAAGTATTTTAAAATTATTTAAAATAGATCAAAGCATGTTTAGCATAGCGTAGAGAGGACGTATCAGTGACTTTTAGATTACGCCATACAGGGTCGTATAGCATGCGTATATATTCGTCTCCTCCTATTCATTGATCTGGGATTTATCGGAGCATAATTCAACCGATATTCAGTCAGGTTTAGTAACTAAGTCAACATTTGAAATTCGTATGTTCATCAATATTTTGCGAGAATGGTGCCACAATTGAAGTAAACCTCTGGTTAATTATTTTCAATATACCTATCAGCAAACGTGTATATGATAATGTTGATGTTCTATCACATATTGGTGAAGTAATCTTTAAGGTATAGCCTAAATTTCTGAAATTCCCCAATTAATGAATTTCTGAAATTCCCCAATGTCGCTATATACCCCTACTTCAAAAGATGTATGTTATGTCATTTTTTATCATGAACCAACCATGAATGTATTTTTCCTTCTTTACATATAGAATGAACTTTCGAATATTGAAAGATGGCACTGCATTAAATTATTTTTTCATGATATGGAACAAACATAGGCGTGTCAATTTACATTGTATTATCCTACATACTTATATTCCATGAGTACTTTTGAAGAATAATCAAGAAAATGTTTTCAAATGAATCCATCCTTGTCTGAGAACGTGAATGAGGATATACAGTTTGAAAAACGAACAACATGTTTCAAGTTCTTACAATTATGGCTGTAGCAAATACTTTAAAAGTTGTAATTTCGAATTTAATCTCCTGTACTCAATAAATATTGTTGATATTTGTGAAGTTTTCATTTCGGAATACACATTGCCGGATCACAGAACCTTGCCTTGTTCGAGATGCAAAAAAGTGTATAGTTAAACCTAGAAGCCCTAAGGTAAAAAACACACGAACACCTATGGGGGGGGGGGGGTCAAAAGGGCACCCCTCTTGTATAATTCTTATTAGTAGAGCTAGGATGGTCAAACTTTCCCAAAATATACTTCATTCAATTCGCTACAATTTGGTGTAATTATTTTAAAAACCATGATGATATAAGATTGCGTAATTTTATTCTAAAGACAACACGTATGGTAGAACTAGTGCTAGTTTTTTCCAATTTTGCCTATTTATGCTGATGATTACATCATAATTAATTGATAACGAATTAGTAAAGCTAGGCTGTTCAAACTGTACAATCAAAATCAAGCGGGTAGTTTGAATTTTTGTTTGAGTTTACAGCTTATATCTATAAAGGACGATTCTCGGTTTGGAGAACAGTCTCCTGGGCTAATAATCTTTTTCATGAAAAATGAAATATTACCCAAATTAAACTATGAATATTCAAAAGAGGACATTTAGAAGAGGACATGTAAAAATAACAAATTGGTCTGAAGCAGGGATAACGCTCAATTAGACCGATACAATTAAATACAAGTCTCGATTTGGGGTAAAAAGTTCATCAGTGTACTGCGCTAATATTTTTTTCGAAAAAATCTAGAAATATAACCCAAATTAAATTATGACTATTCTAAAGAAGACATTCAAATCATTATTATGTAAAAAAATCAAATTTGTCCGAAGCAGGGATAATGCTCATTTAGATTGATGAACTTCGTTCTCCAAAGCGAGAATCGTCCTTTCAAAACATATCATCTCATTGAAAGGTACATGCAGCTTTTGGCGATCCATCATGATAAAAGGCTAAATATTGCGAAAGCACGAGACGAGTTGACACGCTGAAATTTAAAATTGTAATTTCCCACATAATTGTCGACTTGTGTAAGTCATGAAAACAAGATGAAATGGCACGTGTAGATAAAAACGTTAACAAAATTATTAAGAACAGAGATATTTACTTATGTTACATTCGTTGGCATGTGTCAGTGAGTAAATAAGAAGAATATGTTTTTGATTCTATATCTTGTTCCGAAAGGAATTTGTTGTGGAGCTGTACGTAACATACTTTTATCACCCTGAACTCATACAAATATTTCGAATACTTATTTTGCGAATGCTTTTTTGAGAACGGATTCGATATGTCCTCAAAATTAATACGTTATAATGCGTTTAAACATCTTAATAACTACCTAACAAAAGATATACGATCATTGAGATTTTTATTTTCGAATGTTGACTTAGTTACTGAACCTGACCGTATTTCACATAGTAGAGTATAAACAAACGATTCCAAATGTTCCTGAGGCTGGAAAGGTTTGTTCCAATACCAAATGTGATATAGTGAATCGAAGCCATACAGTGTATGAACTTATTTTTCACATAAGGGTTTCACTTATCACTGGCGGATCCAGGGGCATGGGGCCTCCAGAAAAAATAAATGGGCATTTTTGCATAACTGTGCCTTTTTTATACGATTAACGAAAATGGGCCTTGAATTTCCCAAATTTGGGCTCGGGTTTTTGGCTGCCTTGAAATGTTCCTCCCCCTTGTTAGCTTCTGGATCCGCGAGTGCTTATATACTACTATCGTTAACATTTTGTCATATTATCTTGTACCTGCAAAATCTGCTGATTTTGTAACGAGAGCATCGTAGATGGCATCAAAGCTGTTTAGTACAACAACCAATTCCCCGGCAAAATTCAGCTTGAAGATAGGTCCATACTCCTCAGCCCATCTTAGTAAATCATTATGAATGTGTTGAAGGTAAACTTGGAGTGCATTCCCGAATATTGGTATTCCTTTAGGTCCTGGGATTTTTGCGACTATCCTTGATTTCTCATTCGTATATTTTTTGATAAAAACATACAACAAAAAAGCAAAGCTGCCCAGAAGAATGTAGGATATCATGATAGAAGTAAGTATGTTTTGTTTATACGTTGCCTCTACATCAACAGGCGAATCGCTTTGTGAATATACAGACTCGTCAAAGGTCAAACTGACTCAGCTAGGATTGTGCAGGCTTTATGTTGCTTTTAGTATACTTTGTACCCTGCGCACAGGGTCTGGTTATAAACTGTAGACGCAGCTCTCTTAAGAAGCGAAGTCGAATGCACATGGAAGAGAAATACTATTTTTGAGAACAGAGGCTTATAAAGTGGCTAGATTTTCAAAATGTTTGGAAATTGTTAAAGTCCCCGTCTAAAGTTTGAAAATATTTTTTATCATGCATTTACTATTTCTCATGACTTTAAAAGTTATTAAAAAAAGTTGTGAGCATTTCATTTCTCAAATATTCAAATTTTCCGCCATTTTTCAAAAAAGTTTTTTAATCATCAAATATTTCTCAATGCATTTCAAAAAAGATTATATTAATAACGCCAATGCAAAGATTGAACAAAGGACACACTATTTCAATAATAAAATGCCATATTTAATGGGCCACTTCAATGTATTAGCATATCAAAAATATTTTGAAACATTAGCGATGTCACTAAGGTATTGAAAAAAATGAAATTCTTTTTCGATGTCAATCTTTCCTAAATATGCTAGACTTCAATAATAAACCAATGTTGATTGTCTAACCAGGTTAAAACAAAGAATATATTATGAACCATTTTCCTGCACTGAAAAGTTCATTTCTCACTTATTTATGAACCGATTTTCTTCATTTTTTCGGCAAAAAAGATGCAAGGATAAATTCTATGCGGTATGAATTGTGGCTAATTGAAAGATATGTTTGGCCTCTAAAAGTGAGTTTTAAATTTTACAAATTTTGGAACAAAAAGATCAAAAACCACTTTTTGAGATTAAAAAAAAAGTTTCACATATCACACTTTGATAACATTGGGTAAGACTACAATATTTAAGCCAAAGTGGTTTAAACTTAATATGGGGAATTTAAAGAACAGAAATAATCTAGTTCTTGAAAATTGTTCTCCGGCACTAACACGTCGACCAGTTCCAAATGAGATAGCTCTGAATTAAATCAACAAATTTCGATAATCTTAAAGAATTGATATTATATATTGCAACAAACCTCTTAAATTTCCCCCCTCATTTGAATCGTTTTTGATGACAGTATTTCAACCTTAATGATATGCTTGAGAATTCACTGCGACTCGAGATTGTTACTTTATTATTGATTTTTTAACTTTCCCGCTGTGCTTTCCGGATATGTAATATATCCCATAATTTCTCAGAAGTAAAAGTTCGTTTCTGTTCTTGGGAGAAAAACTCACATTTCTACGTGAGTACTAGCGATCTCGGTGAGAGTTCTCAAAAGTAGAGTGAATCATTGTTGCAAGTGGCAGTTGGCCTGTCAGGGTCGAAAGTGACTTTGTTGTTTCCTGACGGAGATCAAAACTAGCCAAAGGCAGAGAGGGGAAGAACTACACCTAAAGAGAGAAGTCATATGAATTTGTTGATTTGGGTAGTTTTTTTACTTATTCGATTGAGAGATATTGGACTTGGTCTATTTGAAGAAAGTTTACTTAGTTTATTTAGAGTAACACTTTTGTGAAAATTATACGAGTTATTGAATTTGGAGATAATTGAGATTAAAACTTATATTTTGCAAGATTAAATTGCAATTCAGTTGTGTATGTAAACTCGTTGTATTGTTGAATTAAATTCCAAAATTAGTATTTTGCAACACCGCAGATTAGGGATGTTGCTGACATCATGTGGGTATATTACTCTGATACTTGTTTATTTCAGTGTGCTAACAAGCGAGCCTACAACCAAAAAAGTAAAAAAAAAAAGATATATATTCCTTCTGGAATCGAACCCGCGACCTGCCTCACCCGAGGCGATAATTCTGGTAATAGACCCACTGGTCAATTAAGCTTGCGGTAGCGACAAAACAGCGAAGCCGCAAGCATTTGGGAAAACAAGGAATTATTTTGTATTGTACAATGTTCAATACAAACACCCCTTCCAAAATTCGTCTCTTATAAAGGATATCCAACGAACTAATAATACACAAAATTATTAAAATAGCATCATTTCCGAACAACCTTCCCTTACTTTTATACTTCAACTATTGTTTTTTGGATTATACCGTACCAGTTGCATCAACATAGGATTTAATTTTTTTCAGATTATATAAAGACAGATTGTCAGATTCCCCCATCTCCATCAGCTATTATAAATCATTTATGTACTATGCAATTTATTTTCAAAACTACAATTTAGTTTTTCGTCCAAGACAAGAACGGCCTGAAGAAATATCATAGGTTTAAAGTATCGTTTAATCAACTAGTATGTTAACCATTGTTAAAGGATCTTCATAATATATTTAAATCACACGTGATGAATTATTGTCTCGCTATTGCTTTGATTTGAAATGGCACAGGGTGGAGTACAATTCCGAGAGGAAAGTCACGTGGATCAGGAGACGGACTTTGAGAGCCATCTGGTGGACTGATCGTGAATTTCTGCAACAATGTAGCACAAAACAGGAATAATCTGGTTCTTGCAAATTGTTCCCCGACACAAACACGTCGACCAGCTCCAAACGAAATAGCTCTGAAAAAAATAAAAAAATAAATGAATCTCAAGAACACACTTCACCGTTACATGAAGATTATAAATCGAGAGAGTGGTATTTATTTATACTAATTCAAAATTTGAATTAAAAAGGAGAACAGGGTGCAAGTTTATACACACGAGAGGTGAAATAGTTAAAAAAAACTAACTTGTTTCGTTCCTCTAAAGATACCAATTTGTCGTCATTATCCAACCAACGTTCTGGTTTAAACTGCCAAGGATCTGGGAACATTGCAGGATTGTGGTGCATTGCAAATATGTTCGTCCAAACCTTAGAAATAAGTTCATTGATATTCATTTTATTTACATTATTTTCACGGAACTAACATTTAAAAATACAACCTTCATAAGTGAATGGAAAATATTTCCATTTTTAGGCTTTAACAAGTTCCAAATAGTACAATTAACAGCGTAGAAATTAGAAACATGATATTCATAGATCATCTAGTGCATCTATTTGTTCAGTTTCTATAATTTCTCGATAAGAATTATTTCAGCATATGATTGATACCATCATTTACTTAATAATCAAAAATCGAGCAATATATGTGCAAACATTTAAATACATTACCTGTGTTCCCTTTGGAACATCATATCCTGCAACACTCGTGTCTACCAACGTTTTATGGGGTACCGAAATTGGCACATGCGTCAAATAACGTAACACTTCGATAAGCGTCGCTTGAAGGTACGGCATGCTTTCTTTATCGTCAACACTTGGATTCCGGTCTTTGCCGACAACTTGGTCAACCTCTTCTTGTAGTTTTGCCTGTATATCTGGATGCCTCATCAGTAGAAGAAACAATCCAGAGATGGTGGCTTTAGTCGTGGTTAATCCTGCACCAATGAGATTCGCCGAAGTCATTATTATGTTGTAATCCGATATTTGGTGCGGAGTTAGGGGGTCTCTTTGGGCTCTTATAAATCCAGCCATAACACTATTGTTCGAATCAAGTGATTTCTACAACAATTTAGGATAATGTAAATAACCACATTGATTTAAATTGGATATCAGTGTTAACGAAATGATAAATAAATAAAACAAATAATTTCCAAATATTCAATTAAAAAGTACAGGTTCAACAAAGCTACACAATACATGTTTTGTTTCGCCAATGCCAATGTTTACATACCTCACATTCTATCCGCATTCCACTCATTGCAGCATCCCTTAAACTACACGACTCCGTCAGTAGTTTAAAATTTTGATTTCCGAAAAACCGTAGCCAAGGAAACATGTCTAGTTCCACTCCATTGCCTGCTGACATTACTCTTCCAGCTTTATTTTGAAACTCGGCTATTTGTTTGATGTAAGGGTGGTCGTCCGCAAACTGAACCCCGCCTATCTATATAGGAATATAACAGTTAAAACTTTCACTTATCAATACGTTAGGTTATTTACCCGAAATGGAGAAAGTACTACAGTTAATCTCATGAATGATACTACTACTCTGGCCCTCGAAAAATATATTATTGCCCCTCGGAATGAAACCCATATTCAATCCAACCCGGTAAATAACATCTATACAGTATCCCAGCCCGCTATAAAAGAGATATAGTATAGGCATCACTCAGTCTTTTCAATGTCAGTTCAATGACATCTGATTGATGATTTAATATCATTGGGGCTGTTGTGCCCCTTGGCGACCAATCATAAGTTGACCTGGGGTCAAGGTCAATGTCCATGGCTCAAGATTATCTCAAAGTAAAGTGTAAATATCTCAGTATAGTATTCGGCGTTTTAAGTACCTTTGGGGATGCTCTGACCCTTGTTAACACATGATTAAGTGACCAGAGTTCAAGGTCATTCCAAAGTCAAAGGTCAATATCTAGGTATTTGGCACTAAACGTCAATGGGCTGCTGTAATCCTCGGTGACCCATGATTAGTTGACCCGAGGTCAAGGTCAATATTTATGTGTCAAGGTCATCTAAAAGTCAAATATGAATATCTAAGTATTTAAGACCCTTTGGGCTGCTGTGACTTTTGGAGACCCATGACAAGGTCATCGTTAACGGACAAATGTCATCCAAGGGTCAAACTTCAATCTACAGGGCGATCATAAAGTAAGATCAAAGTGCTGTTATTTTTATAGACATGTCTAGCTAATTTTCTCACAGAATGTTGATTTAATAATTATACATATACAAGGAAAAATTCCACATGTTACATTTAAAATTCTGCGTTCTATGGTAACCATGGCAACCAATGCCGAAGGTACCTAGAGCAGTCAAAAAAGAAAGGAACTATTATGATATTTTCTTTCTTAATGGTTTTATACTTTGGAAATACTACCATATTTTGTTACATTCAAGGCATTCGTGTACATTCTAATTTTCTCAGATGTTTATTTTAGGTGTTTTATCTATTTGCTATTATATTCAACACATTTTGGTGATATTTAATCCGGTCCATTTACACATGTCTGAATGCCATTCACAAGAAAAGACCAGCGTTGGTAGATCACTAATTAATCCTTCATATTGGGATATAATACCATACATACCATACAGCAAAGAAGCAATCGGACAGCATGGGGATCAAATAACTAAACCAAAACTGGGAATGGGCCCTAACTTACCAGACATGGCCACATAAGATTTTTATTTCTATATGGGGACTTAAAATCTGAACGTTGGGGAGAATTTCTCAAGATAGAAGATCTGAAAAAGGTGCTACTCGACAGTCGTGTCTGGATTAAATGTCACTTAAAATATGTTGAATGTAATGACAAATATATAAAACACCTAAAATGAACATATGAGAAAATAATATGAATGCACAAGAATGCATTGAATGTAACAAAAGATGGTGGTATTTCCAAAGTATAAAACCATAAAGAAAGAAAACATCACAATATTTCCTTTCTTTTTTGACTGTTCCTGGTACCCTCAACATGGGTTTCCATGGTAACCATAGAACGCAGAATATTAAATGTAACGTGGTGATATTTATTTTGTGTATGTATAATCATTAGATTAGCATTTTGTGAGAAAATGAGCCAAATTCTACTACGGATCCGACTGAAAGGGGAAGTCATTTTCGAAATAAAGTTGGCAACTTACTACTTCTGCAAGGATTTTCAAAATCATCGTTTCAACAGCGTCGTCATAATAGAACGGCTCGTTGTTTTTAGCGGCAAATTTATCCATACATAAGTTGACTTCACTTTGGGTGATCTTGATTATATTCGAACGTTCCTCGCCGTACATCTTTAGTCCTTGGAGCATGAGTTTCTTCATATATTTAATTTTGTCCGTGTAGTCTTCAAATATGACATCTTCGTTTTTTGAGAAAGCTTTAACTCTGAATGTGTCATTTGGTCGGCCTAAAATCATATATGTATTATCAAGAAATTGTAAACATGGATCGACAATAGGCACCTAGCTGCGTGTATGCTTTGGTTCAAGTCATACAAAGAGCCTATCTGATTTCGTGGTCAGACTTGCTTTGATCTTTACCACAAGTTTTTTTTTATTTTACTTGTGAATTATATGTATACACATCATTATTGGTGAAAAAAATAATTGAGTCTTGGGCTAAAATTCATTTCACACATTGCAAAATATTTTTTAACATGTCACTTAAAAGATAAGAAATCACTAAAATGAATTTTCAATGAAACCTCTTTGCAAGGGTCAAGTTGGCGAAGCATCAATTTCAATTTGTAGAATACTACGGTCTGACCTTGACAACCATTGACAGACATTAAATGTGTGAATTCTCATTATATGCTTCAAAGAATAAATAATTTAATAATTTAATATGTTTGATATGTAAAACGATATGATTCACTGACCTGCGAAATCTGCTGATTTCGTGACAAGAGCTTCGTAGATGGCATCATAACTGTTAAGTACAACTACTAAGTCCCCAGCAAAGTTCAACTTGAAGATCGGTCCGTACTCCTTTGTCCATCTAAGTAAATCTTTGTGAATATGCTCAAGGTCAACTTGAAGTGCATTCCCAAAGAGGGGTATCCCTTTAGGACCCGGAATCTTTGCGATAATCTTCGATTTCTCATTTCTGATTGTTTTGATAAAAACATACACTAGGAAAACAACTGCGCCAAAAAGAAGGTAGGATAGCATTTTACAATCCGATGTCTAGCTCTCACCAAGCCTCTCCATCAAAAGAAAAACAAGTTCTGCTTTTTCTACATTACAAGGCCATGTGCTAGATAAAGCGCTATGATTTATGATAAACTGGTGGAAATAGATTTTTGGCTTTTGACTCATGCTGCAGCCTTTAATAGCATAAAAAATCAAATGCTCTGATAATTTTACCATTGCAATTAGTTTTGCACGTGAAAATAACATAATGTAGAATTCCAAAATGGATTTTTCATAATTCATTGTTGTAATTCTTGGCAGCTGTTTTCACATCAACTAATTATTTGTGTTTTGATAAAATCAATTTATTGAAACGTGTAACTATAATATGTTTTAAGCAATATCAAATTGACAAGACAAAGGGCGATACATATATTAGAATTAATTTATGAATTAGTGAAAAGTTCACAAACAGCTTATATGACCTACATTAACAAAGATATCACAAGTAGAGCATGCAGCTGTAGTCTATATACGATCATTTTTTGACATTGGTGAATGAGTTTAATAGATTCAAATCCATCGTACTAGTTTTCGAAATTTCTGTACATGAAGTGACGTTTTAGCGATGTCTATATGAGACAGATCATACAGCTGCCTTTTTCTTTAATTAATTAAAACTATATCAAAATATGGCGATGTAATTAATACAAGTTGAACCCAGGAGAGCAACTTCCTTTCGAAGGGAGGGCAAAAACATGCCAGACAAGCCAATAAGACTGAGATTTTTTACTACTCGGTATCATTGTAGAATTCACCTCTCGAGCGTCATTCTCGCTAATTTCACCCCTGAAACTGTGCCCAACATGTAGATCAGTGTAGGTTCTATTCCATATGTACTTGACATGGGAGATCTTCAGGTACAGCTGAATATACCAACCATTTGTAAATCACGAGTGTCCTTGTGGGAATCGTTTGCATGAATAGGCTATGTTAAAAACCGCTTTAGCGTACACATTCATTAGCGAATGCAATAATTCATCATTTAGCCTTGCACTTACTAAGCGGTTCAGCAAATGATTAATGTGAAATGAGTAAAAATTGAGGTAAGTGGAACTTGAAATAGGTCACATTCTGATCTTGAATCTGAAGTACACCGCTGCAATAAATACAACTCGGAAAACTGTGCTGTACAGTAGCTTGTACTTAGTCTAGCATCACACTACTTTTATTGTATTCCATAAAATTGCTAGTGCATTTCTGACATTGTGCTTTATCATTCACTTCAAATCCAGATTTAAATCTGGAGAAATCCTGATTTGTTTTGCTCATCCCGATTTTCAAAAAATTCAGAAGTATCCCGAATTTTTTGTAAAATATCCCGATTTTTAAGAAAATATTCCAATATTTTGTAAATTACCCCAATTTTTTTCATACGGCATCGCGACTTTGGGTTCAAACATCCCGATTTGTTAACGAGACATCCCGATTGGTACCTTCCATATTTTTATTTAAATCTCCCGATTTGTTAGTGAGATCGCCCTCGCAAAAAATGAAAGTATACCGTATTCTAGGCCAGCAATAAATCGACCAATTAAGACGCATATAGGAGACATTACAATGACATTTGGAACGTGGTGGAAACAAATATGCAAAAGCATTTTTGTGATAAATCGAAATAACTTAGTACACATACCGTTTGCTTATTTAATCTTCTTTAAATAATTGGAAACCAGAATTTAATTTAATCGATCATTCTGAGACTGAGGTATTCAATACAACGTACTGAACGCGTAGATACGTTTTCATTGACAGTATTCTTTGACTTCATGTATAACACAAACACGTATCTATACTTTATCACAAAGATAATTGATCGTGTGAGACCTAGATGTAGATTACATAATTATTTCTGATATTTAACTATTGCAAGTGATGTGCTGTGAGTTCCAAATAATTAATACGGAAAACCATTATTAAGCTTGGTAAAATTACAGGATCATTACGTCAAGTTTTGAGGGTGTATTCACATTAGCTAATTATGATGTGTTACTTGGTTAAATGCAGATGATATCTCAT